GCTTGAGGGTGGAAGGATTGGTATGACGATTTCCTGGATCCTGGAAACACCCATGGGTTTTGCTCCTTGAAAAAGACCCAGAACCTTTTGATTCCCCTACAAGGACTCCCCATCCCCATTCTCAAAAAAAAAAAAAAAAAGAAGAAGAAAAAGACAATTGGTGATGTAAATATAGCAGCCTTGAAACCTAACTCAACACATTTAACAACGCTATTTAAGTAATCTTTGGTCCATTTTCTCTGCAGAACATGGTTTCAGTGCCCTGGTTTTGATGATTGTGAATACCAATTAACTTCATTATTTTTCAAGGTCACACATTATATCTTTATATCAAACTATTCTGAAAATAAACATCCTTAAAAAAGAAAAAAAAAGAATGTCCCAGCTCATTTCCTGTCCTGGCCTCCCACCTTATTCAGCCATACTACCTTACTGTTTAAGGTGGTCGTACATTTCATTGCCAATCTATCATTTGATCTGGGATTACAGTCTATGTTTATGAAGACTCTTATCAGACTTCTCTAATTCTTATTTACTAATCACCATCCAAAGAATACCAACGAGGTTCCAGAAGAATATCTCCAATGCTGTATCTCCTACAGATAACCTAAATTCACAATAACAATTCCCCACCTTTTTTGGGGGGGGGTGGTTGGCGGGGGAAGGGGGGATTGATGATTGAACTCAGGGGCACTTTAGCACTGAGCTACATCCCTATCCGTTTTAAGGTTTTATTTTGAGACACGGTCTTGTTAAATTGCTTAGGGTCTCATAAATAGTTGAGGCTGGCCTTAAATTTGTGATCCTTCTGCCTCAGTCTCCCAGGTTGCTGGGATTACAGGCGTGCACCCCTATACCTGGCTTCCCTGCCTTTTCATAGCAACTGTGACTTCTATCTGCCTGAAATGCCTATAAATTATTTTCCATACAAATAAAATCAGAAATCATAGAAAAATTCAAAGTACAAATCTATACCTTTCTATGTTCTATTGATAGTCTAAAGTGATCAAATATTTTAATTGATTGAACATGCTGTTAAAAAGCCATGTGATGGTATAACTTGGTCACAGACAATAAGGTGAACATTTGTTAATTCTAAAGCTTGTAAATGCCACAAAATAGCTACATTTAACTATATAGGAAATTAAAATAACACCAATACTGCCCTATTTATAGTCACCATACTCTTCTATTGCTTTGATTTTTTTTTCTTCTTTCTATATTTTTAATGAAAAAGTGTGTTGACATAAGAAAAAGGCTCAGGATGCTGTGGCAGGAGGATTTCGAGTTCAAAGCCAGGGTCAGCAACTTAATGAGGTCCTAAGCAACTTTAGACCCTGTCTCTAAATAAAACATTTTTAAAAGGCCTGGGGATGTGTCTCAGAGGTTAAGTGACCCTGGATTCAATCTCTGGTACCCCCCCGCAAAAAAAATGGTGGTAAAAGTAAATGGCTGATTTCTATCCTAATCGCTGAAATCTCTGAATGCTACTTTTTTGGGAAAAGCTTCAGCTTTATCTCTAATAACAACTGTATCCATATATTTAGAAAACTAAAAGGGAAAGAGCTTATGGTAATCTAAATAGACATAGAAAAAGCATTTGGCAGATTTCAAAATCATTCTTTTTTTTTCTTTATTAAAATATTTTGTTTAGTTGTTAATGGACCTTTATTTCATTTATTTGCTTATATGTGATGCTGAGAATTGAACCCAGGGCCTCACGCATTCTAGGCAAGTACTTTACCACTGAGCCACAACCCCAGCCCACTCAACACCATTCTTAATTAAAAAAAAAAAAAAAGCGGGGCTGGGTGGTGGTGAGGAACTAAACAAATTAATCACAGGAGGGAACTTCTTCAGCAGTGATAAACAGCACCTACTTGAAAGCCTCTTTCTGGGCTGAGGGTATAGCTCAGTGGTAGAGCACCTGTCTGTCATGTCTGAGGCACTAAATTTCTTTCCCTAGCACTGAGGGAAAGAAAAAAAAAAGCAGCCTACTGCATCATACTTAATAAAGAACAAATGGGGGTTGGGGTTGTGGCTCAGTGGTAGAGTGCTCACTTCGCACGAGAGAGACCCTGGGTTCGATCCTCAGCACCACATAAAAATAAATAAAGATATATATAAAAAAAGAACAAATGGGGGCTGGGGTGTAGCTCAGTGGTACAGTGCTTGCCTAGCACTGTACTTGTGAGGCACTGTGTTCAATCCTCAGCACCACATAAAAATAAATAAAACAAAGGTATTATGAACATCTACAACTAAAAAAATTAAAAAAAAAAAAAAAAAAAAGAGAACAAAATGGCTGGGGTTGTGGTTCAGTGGTGGAGCTATTGCCTAGCATGTGTGAGGCACTGGGTTCAATCTTTAGCACCACATAAATAATAAACAAATAAAATAAATCTATAAGTAAAAATATATTAAAAAAAAGAACAAGTGACTATTTTCTCAAGGTCAATAAAAAGATTTCTATCTATATTGTCCTGGAAGTTCTGCTCAGGGCAATCAAATAAGGAAAAGAAATAAAACACATCCAAATTCGAAATAAAAAAAAATAGAAGCAAAAATGAATTTATTTGTAGGCAACATAATAATCTATCTAGAAAATCTGATTCTACAAAAAAAATACTAAAATTGTTTAGGTGAGATTAGCAAGGTTGCAAGGTATGAGACAAAAGTCAATTGCATTTTTGTATACTAGTAATGGACAATCAAATCAAATCTTTAAAAACATTTCTCTAAAACCAAAAATATGAACTGCACGGGGATAAGTTTGAAAAAATATGTGAAAAACACTTGAGTTACAAAACACTGATGAGAGAAAATAAAGATTTAAATAGAGAGGCATATAGATTTTTTGTGGATCTGAAGACTCAATATTGTTAAGATTCTCCCCAAGTAAATCTACAGATTCAGTGCAGACCTAATCAGAATACCAGAAGGTTGGTTGGTTTGCTTGTTTAGAAGTTGACAAGCTGATTCTAAATTCATGTGCTAATTCAAAAGACATAGAAGAGGCAAAAGAACTCTGATCAAGAAAAACAAGGGGCTAGGGTTGTGGCTCAGCAGTACAGCACTTGCCTGGCATGTGTGAGGCCCTGGGGTCGATCCTCAGCACCACATAAAAATAAATTAATAATAATTAAAAAAAGGTATTGTGTCCAACTGCAACAACAACAACAACAACAGAACAAAATGGGCAGGCAAACTTGATTTTGAGACTTTTTATAAAGGTACAATAATCAAAATGTTGTGTCGTAGAATAGAAAAAAATAATAGAAAAAGATCAACAAAACAGATATAAAGTTATAAACTCACACATACATAAACATGGGATATGGTTTTTGTTAGTTTTTTGCAGTGTGGGTGTTTGTGTTGCTGGGGATCAAACCCAGGGTCTTTCATGCTGTGCATGCGCTCTACCACTGAGCCACATTCCCAGCCCCTGGACAAGAGATTTTTGAAAAAGGTACAAAAGCAATGAAGTGGAAAAAGGGTAGTCTTTTCGCAACTGGAAATAACTAACTATTCCCCCCACACACAAAAAAACCCAACTTTATATTTATACCCTGTACCTCATACAAATTAATTCAAAATTTATAATTGACCTAAATATAAACACTAAAACTTTAATACTTCTATAAAAAAGATAGAAATTTTCCGTAATCTTGGGTGTGATAACAACTGCTTAGACATGTCACTAAAAGCATAATTCATAAGAAAATCCAACTTTATCAATTCAAAACTGTTCTTCAAAAAGGCACTGTTAAGAGATGAAAAGACACTCATTTCACATACTTTCCTGACCCTTCTTTTTTTTTTCTTCCTGACCCTTCTTTAGGCTATTGAATTTACAGTGTGCTCCTGTAGATTAGAATTTCATCTCCTCCAAGAGTCTGTTGACTGTTCATCTTCTACAGCAGGCTGAAGAATAGCCCTGAAACAAACCCAAATCCTAATCCCTAGAACCAGCAAATGTTACCTTATATAGCAAAAGAGACTTTGTAGATGTAATTATGTTGGGATCTTGAGATGGGGAGTTTGTCTTAGATTATCTGGGTGGGCCCTAAATGTAATCACAGATGTCTTAAGAGGAGGAAGCTGAAAGAGATTTGATAACAAAAGAGGCCTTGTAATGAGGGAAGCAGGGGAAAAGGTGACATGAGTGGAACCAAGAGCAGTGAGGACCACCTGCCTAGCTACACAAGGCAAGGCAAAGCACAGGCAGCATATCCCTGTCCACAGGCAGCATACCCCCTCCAAGGCAGTATATCCCTGCCCACACCTGGATTTCAGCTGGGTGAAACTGATTTTGGACCTCTGACGTCCAGAACCATAAGAAAATAATTGAGTGCTGCTTTCGGCCACCCAGTTTGTGTTTATCTGTTGCACCAGTCAGGAAACTTATACATCCTTCTGGACCGGAAGGTGGGTTCAGGGAGGAGATGTCTTAAGGTGGGTTCAGGGAGGGGACAGTCTTAACGGAATTTTCCCTCCTACCAGCAACAAGGGAGCCCATTGCTACATCTCTCACTAAACCATAAAGACAGAATACAAATAACTCTCTAGCAGCCCAGCCAAGTGCCGACTGTCCTGGAACATCATCACACTTTTTTCCAGGGTAAAGCAGTTCATAGCTCAGGGGTTTTATTTTTAACATGCAATCCTAGGAGCATGTGGGTTTACACATACAGAGGGGTCAGTTCTCTACCCACTGTGCAAACAAACAGCAGAATACCTAAATGCCACTTTAAATATTTGCTACTATCTACTTTTCTTCTTTACCCCCAGAACCTATAAAGGGAAAAATTGATTACATAATTGAAGTTGCTAGGAAAGAACCCCAAGTACCTATATGGTGAGAAGGACAGATAATGTGTAGATAACTAGACTACGATTTGAATTTATCTACTCAAATCCTCCAGTGAATCTTAACAAAATATTTATCTAGAAGAGTCCACTTCAGTTAAAAAAAAAAATTCAATTGTTTCTTCTTTCAGTTTAGAAGAGAGAAATAAACATCTGGAAGATTTAATGAGAAGGCCCAGAGAGAGAGCCAGAAAACTGAGGTAAGTTTTCCGTTCTTTAAAAATCAACAGTAATGTCTTGTTTCCCGCGCCCCCCCCCCCCTTTGGTACCAGGTATTGAACTCTAGAGCACTCAACCACTGAGCCTCATTCCCAGCCCTTTATTGTATTTTATTTAGAGGCAGGGTTTCACTGAATTGCTTAGGGCCTCACTAAAAAATTTGCTGAGACTGACTTTGAACTTGCAATCCTCCCACCTCATCCTCCTTGAGCCACTGGGATTACAGGCATGCACTACCACACCGAGCTAATAATAATGTCTTTAGCTTTAAAAAAGTGTGTGTGTGTGTGTGTGTGTGTATTTATACACATGTATATAATACATTTCTAAAAACTTTCCCATGTCTCAATTTAAGATAAATTATAGGAAAATTCTTAATATTTTGCAATGATTTTAAAATAATCACCTGATAAATTGTTTAGCATTTTTTAATTTATATGTGACAGTGGAATGCATTATAATTCTTATTACACATATAGAGCACAATTTTTCATATCTCTGGTTATATACAAAGTATATTCACACCAATTCATGTCTTCATACATGTACTTTGAATAATAATGTCCATCACATTCCACCATCACTTCTAACCCCATGCCCCCTCCCTTCCCCTCACACCCCTCTGCTCTATCTAGAGTTTGTATATTCCTCCCATGCTCCCTCTCCCCTACCCCACTATGAATCAGCCTCCTTATATCAGAGGAAACATTCAGCATTTGTTTTTTTGGGATTGGCTAACTTCTCTTAGTATTATCTTCTCTAATTCCATCCATTTACCTGCAAATGCCATGATTTTATTCTCTTTTTTTTTTCTGAGTAATATTCCATTGTGTGTATATATATATATATATATATATATATATATACCACAGTTTTTTGAAGGGCATCTAGGTTGATTCCACAGTTTAGCTATTGTGAATTGTGCTGCTATAAACATTGATGTGGCTGTGTCCCTGTAGTATTCTGTTTTTAAGTCCTTTAGCTATAGACCAAGGAGTGGGATAGCTGGGTCAAATGGTGGTTCCATTCCCAATTTTCCAAGAAATCTTCATACTGCTTTCCATATTGGCTACACCAATTTGCAGTCCCATCTGCAGTGTTTGAATGTACCTTTTCCCCCATATTCTCGCCAACACTTATTGTTGTTTGTCTTCATAATAGCTGCCATTCGGACTGGACTGAGATGAAATCTTAGAGTAGTTTTGATTTGCATTTCTCTAATTGCTAGCGATGATGAACATTTTTTCATATATTTGTTGATTGATTGTATATCATCTTCTGAGAAGTGTCTATTCAGATCCTTGGACAACTTATTGATTGGGTTATTTGTTTTTTGGTGTTTAGCTTTTTGAGCTCTTTATATGATAAATATTTTTTTATAGAACCTGAATTGGAAAGAGATTTCCTGCCCTCAGGAATATATGTTTGCCTCTTATGAATGTACTAAGATTTTGCCTGAAAAAAAAAATTGCTTATAGCAAGGCGTGGTGGCATACACCTGTAATCCCAGCAACTCTAGAGGCTGAGGCAGGGGGATGTTGAGTTCAAAGCCAGCCTTAGCAAAAGCGAGGTACTAAGCAACTCAGTGAGATCCTGTCTCTAAATAACATACAAGATAGGGCTGGGGATGTGGCTCAGTGGTTGAGGAGTGCCCCTGAGTTCAATCCCTTGTACCAAAAAAAAAAAAAAAAAAAACCTGTTTATTTTGCTATATATTTTATGGCCAGATATTTTCTTACACTAACATTAAATCTTATGATCTGTTATTTTATTATTATTTGGACTTCAAGGGGATTTACCATTGAGCTACATCCCCCAGTCCTTTTTATTTCACTATAGGATCTCACTAAATATTGCCAAGACTGGCCTCCAGTTTGCAATCCTGTTGCCTCAGCTTTCTGAATGGCTGGAATTACAGGCATGCAACACTGCACCCAGCTATAATCTGTTATTTTAGACTTGTTTCAGAATCTGATGCTATAAGTTATATGCAGAAACCCATGCAGGGTTTATTAAGAACATAGTGAGATGTTAAAAATGGACTAATCCTGGCCCAGTTCCTTGGGTGCTAATAAAACAATTGTAGACTCCCAAAGTCAGAGTAGGTTTTCCACATGTGCAGAGTTTCCAAAGGAAATTATTTTGAAGAACCCATTGGGCTTGCTGTGTATCCATTCCATATAAATGAGACGTTTCCCTGAGTGAAAAAGCTTAAGGTAGAAGTAGGAGACAAAAATTAAAGTTGCATTAGAATTTTTAAATTTAAATTTATTTTTTAGCTGGTTCATACAAACTTAACAATTGTACATATTTATGGGGTACTATGAGATGTATTGATACATGTGCACGTCATGTAATATTTTTAAATCAGGGTAAGCTTATCTACCTCCTCAAACATTTGTCATTGCTTTATAGTGAACTCCTATATGATCTAGCAGTATCACAGTTGGTGTTAAACAAAATCCTTCATTCTAGCTTTCTGAAATACATAGTACTTTGTTGTTGTGTGTAGTCACCCTACTATGTAATACTAGCACACCACAGCTACTTACTCCTGTCCAACTATAATTTAGTATCCACTGATCAACCTTTCCCATTGCCTTCTCCCACTTACTTCTCCTAGCCTCTGGTAATCGCATTCTACTCTCAACTGCCATAAGATCAACTTTTTTAGATTCCACATGTGAGTGAGATCATGCAGTACTTGTAACCTAATGATCTCCAGTTCCGTCCCTGTTGTCACAAATGACAGGATTTTATTCTTTTATTTGGCCAAATGGTATTCTGTTGTATGTATACCACATTTTCTTTATCCATTCATCAGTTGAGGGACATTTAGATTGTTTTCTTTCTTTTTTCTTTTTTGGTACTGGGGATTGAATCAGGGGTCTTTAACCACTGAGAAACATCCCTACCCCCCTTTTTTTTGTATTGTATTAGAGATATGGTCTAACTGAGTTGCTAACTGCCTTGCTAAGTTACTGAGACTGGCTTTGAACTCTCAGTCTTCCTGCCTCAGCCTCCCGAATCCTGGGATTATAGGAGTGGGCTACTGCTCCCAGCTTCTTTTCTTGATTGTTGTGAATAGCGCTGCAGTGAACTTGGGTGTGCAGATGTCTCTTCGACATACTGTTTGCATTTTCTCTGGATGTTTACCCAGTGGTGGTATTGCTAGATCATATGGTAGTTCACTTTTAACTTTTTGAGGAACCTTCCATACTGTTTTCCACTAACAGTGTGCAAGGGTTCCCTTTTCTCTGACCAGCACTTGTTGTCTTTTGTCTTTTGGATAATAACTAAAGTCGTATTTTGATTATGTCCTGAGTCATGTTTGCTCAGCATACCAAGGGTAAATACAACTGTTCTAAAAATCAAAACCTCTGAGCAGATTTAGACTAGCTGTTTGCAAAGTGCTAAGTTAAGTATGATTTTTTTTTTTTTACCCACTGCATTGCTGGGAATCAAACCTGGCCCTTGGGCATACTAGACAAGTGCTTACCACTGAATTACACCCCCAGGCTAATATGAAAGAATGTGATCTGATGCTAAATCACAAATGCTTAGTAAATGCTAATTTAAACAGAATATGGGTCTTCTATGAATTGTAGAGAGAAACTATGGAATTTTTTCTAAAACTTTAAAAATAATAAAATTTGCATATAAACTCACATTTTTTACCAGTCAAGGTATTTGTTTATGTGCTGGGGTTGTAGCTCAGTGGTAGAGCGCTTGCTTAGCATGTGAGGCACTGGATTTGATCCTCAGCACCACATAAAAATAAATTTTTTTAAAAAAGTATTGCATTCATCTATTTAAAAAAATTTCTTAAATATATTTGTTTACTTATGGTCTGTTTTCACAATGGATTGAAGGCCCATATGCATGGGTATAAACTGGCCTTGAATCAAGGGGGTGACATGGGGCAAAAGAGCTCTCTAGCCTTTTCTAAGTGGTCAGGCCATGTGTTTTAAAAAACCTCAGATTTTGGCAGCCTTCAGCCATCACCATTTCCATATGCTCTTATTGACTGATTGACCTCAGTACACTCAGCATGCAAACGAGCTTTAGACTTTCTCTGCATCATCTCAAAATTATGATACTACTCTTGCTAAGTGTACTGAGAATAGTGGAAAATCAAGATATGAAAAAAGGGGTACTTTAATAGTCTCAATGTCTAATTTTTGCCTCTAGTTCATCACTTTCAAAGAAATTCATTAGGTTTGCAAATCATGGCCAGAAACCTTTTCCTAAATAAATCTATGGGAATGTTAAATGTAATTGAGACTCTGATTTAATATTTCTATTCAAGTTCATTAAGAATGATCTATGACAATTCAATATATATTGAAAAATTTTAATCTTTTAGGGTCTCATAGTTCTGTCCTAAATGGCATATTTTCCTTGCAAGTGAGTAAGAAAATATGCTACATAGTGAACATAGTGAAAAAATGTCATTATTTTTGTCCTTCCCCATTTTTTACATTCTTTTCTTTTCTTTCCTACAGACCAAGATTAGAAAATCATCCGAAGTCCATGACCTTGGTAGGTCATCTTGATAGTCATTATAAAAAAAACTACATTTGGCCAGGTGTGTTGGTGCACACCTAATCCTAGCAACTCAGGAGGCTGAGGCTGGGGGATACCGAGTTCAAAGCCAGCCTCAGCAAAAGCGAGGAACTAAGCAACTCAGTGAGACCCTGTCTCTAAAGAAAATACAAAATAGAGATGAGGGTGTGGCTTAGTGGTCAAGTGTCCCTGAGTTCCATCCCCCATACAAAAAAAAAAAAAAAAAAAAAAAACCAAAATATGATCAAGACCCTCCCCTACCTAAAGCCCTTGGATGGTTTCCAATTGCACATCTCAGGTCCTCTGCAACCTAGCTCTCACCTTCCTCTCCAATTTTATCATGCATTGCTTTCTCCTCCTCATCATTTATATACAGCATATCTCCTCATCATTTATATACAGCATATCTAACTACCTGCAGTTTTATAAACATGCTGTTATTTCTGTGCCTTCCTGTTACTGACCATGCTGCTTTCCCCCACTTGGTATGTTCTTCTCCAGCTACTTTTCTTCTGCTTTTTTCAGTTCTCTCCTTACGAGCATCTGCCAGCTCATACTCCATCTTCTCTAAGAAGCCATTTCTTCTCTGCCTACCACATGGAACTGGCTAGCTTCCTCCCAGGTGCCCACACCATACCTATTGGCACAATAGCTCCTATAGCATAATATTACTGTTCTCTGCTTACATGACCCTTGACTTGACTAGAACTTTTTTAGTGCAGGAATTGTCTCATATTTGTTTCGGTATTCCCCAAGCACCTGTCACTTAGTAGGTACCTAACTAGGAGTGAGTGAGAATTAAATTTGGGACCCAGACCAAAGCTACACTTGCTAGAATCATGCCTAATACTCCGCTGCTGCCCCTGTCCTGCCCCAGGCCATGGGCATGTTTCATGAATACTGTGGCCTCTTTGTGACATAGCTTTGTGGAAGAGGGCAATGATCAATAGGTCACGTCTCTCATTGCAACACAGCTTTTCTAATAGTTGAATTATGAGGGCACCAATAAATACCATTAATTCTGCAGCACTGTGCTGTAAGTCACTTCATCAGTTATTCAGACAAATGCTTCTGTTCCTTTTCTACATTCTCTGCCACTGGCAACCAAATCAAAAAAGATGAAACTCCACCCACCTTGTTTTTCATAGTGTTCCTCAGTGGGAGAAGGATTGAAATAAAACCAAAAGTATTAATTAAAATATAGCTTGGGTACTTTTTGTGGAGTTCATCTGTAGGCTTTCTTCACAGCCCTCTCCCCTAGGTAACCAAGAATTTGCTGTTCAGAAGTCCTGTCACTAAATGCCTTTCCCCAAAGCTTATAAAACATTTTTTCTTTTTCACTTTTAGATGCCAAATATTTTTAAAGGAAATAGAAATGATTTATTTTAAACAAGACCGAAGATTAAGCACTAGTCATTTTCATCAGCTACTCCAGGAAGAATTATTACTAAGTATACTACTCCAGCTAATCATACATATGATGTACTAAAATCTGTATACACAATGAAATTTTACATTCCAAAAAAAATGTGATTACTTTTCTTCTAATTTCTTCTTGTGACCAATCAAACACATTCTACTTCAACACAGATGAATGCAGTGGCTCTTTTGCCAAATATTCTCACAGAATACCCTTCCATATTATCAGGGGCTTAGTGATGCACAAAGATTTACTAACAGATTTCACGTCAGCTGTTTGTTGTGCTAAAGACATCTCTCCCTCTAGGCTGGAAGGCTCTTCTACCACAAACTCAATTTAAAAGGACACTACTCTAAGATCATTTGGAATAAAGTCTCAGATAAAAAGAAAACTAGTTCTTAAGGCCTAGCCTTTATAATTTCTACCTTAACACAGTTTTGAGGAATTGGTTCTGAATTTCAACAAAGGAGCCAGAGACAACTGATTTTGTGAAATGTACCAGAAATTAAAAAAAAAAAAAAAAAAAAAAAACCATGTATTATCCTTTTGATAAAACCCAGAACCAGGCTGAAAGTATGGCTATTAATCAAAATATACCTTGAATGGAAAGGAAGAAATTATTTTATCTCACAAAAGTTAGTGTTATGCTTACATTATGTACAAAAGGAAAAATATATGTAGAGTATTTAACCAATTCTGATAGAAATGCTGTATAAATAAAAGCTATTATTGTTATTTTTGTTAAGGAATTGTATGAGATAGGTCTTATATGAATTTGGACACAGAACGTTTGATAATTTCTCAAATTCAGAAAGTTGGAACACTTGGGTAGGGAGATGGCCTACTAGGGCCTCACATGGGAGCCCAGACCCCTGCAGTCACATGGCCCTGCATGGTGGGTGGAACTGACCCAGGGTTTGGAGGGCACTGGGCTCTGAGGTGAAAGAGGAGGGGAAGCCCAGGCAGTGCTGGGTCAACTAGGATTGGCATATTCAGCAATTGAATTAATTTACTTTAAGAAATATGTGTCTTATTTTTTAGTTTTCGGTGGACACAACATCTTTATTTTATTTTTATGTGGTGCTGAGGATCGAACCCAGCGCCCCGCGCATGCCAGGCGAGCGTGCTACCTCTTGAGCCACATCCCCAGCCCATGAAATATGTGTCCTAATGGTTAAAACATAAACTGATTAAATTTGACTTTTTTAAAAAAAGCACATAAAAAGTTGGAACATAACTAGTAACAAATTAAACCATGAGAAATATACAATGAATTGAGCAATCTGTAGCAGTAACTGTTTAATTTCAGAAAATTAAGCATTGAAAACTTTGAAGTGATTCAAGCTGTGAAAAAGAGACATTTCTTATTATCCATGGGTTTCATGGGATCCTGTAGGGAAAACTAAAATATGATAGGAGAAAGGCAACTATTAAGATAAAGATAACTAAGTCTAGTTGAGCACAGTGGCATACTCGTCTAATTTCAGCGACTTGGGAGGCTGAGGTAGGAGAATTGCAAGTTCTAGGCAGCCTTCACAATTTAGCGAGGCCCTAAGCAACTTAGCAATACTCTGTCTCAAATTAAACAGTTAAAAGGGCTGGGGATGTAGCTGAATGATAAAGTGCTTCTGGGATAAATCCCCAGTACCCACATAAAAATAAAATAAAATAAAACAGTTAAGCAGCCGGGATGTTGCTCAGTGGTAGAATATCCCAGTATTGTGGTGGGGAGGGGGATAGCTAAGTCTGGAATCTGCACACAAATGGGATGAAATAGGTGGAAAGAAAGCAGTAACCCAGATTGTCTACAAATAGGGCTCTGTGAACAAATACTGATTTAATGGGTATTATGAAACATCTATGTTCTCTTACCTACAGGTTATTTCAAAATGAACAAGCCTCCCTTGCATGGCTTAAGGATGCAAAGTCTACATCAGTCTTTCAATAAACGCTTAATGACTTTCAAAAACTATGTCACAGGCTCTATGTCAGCTGCCAAGGACACGACAAAAAATGATGTGAACTTTACTTTAGATACTTTAGTATCTAACCTATTGGGGAGATAAGTGAACAGTTCTAGAACCATGTCTAAAACCCAAGTTCTTCATAGGCAAGAGATGAGGATGATCATGAAGATCATTAAATGTCAAGCTAAGAAACTAAACTTGATCCTGATGAGAAGCACTGAGAGATTTTAAGTGGAGAAGTGATGTGCTCAGGTATGCATTTTTAAAAGATCACCCCAACACAGTGACATGACATGAAGGGGTAGGTTGATGGTGGAGATATGGGATCAGGAGCATCCGTGAGGCTGCTGGTATAGTGATCCAGGCAAGGCACAAACTGAGCCAAGAATTAACACTGCCATGGACACAAAGAGGGAGATACGGGTACAATGTGATTTCAGAGGTAAAATGAAAAGGATTTAGCGATTGGTTAGCAATGGAAATAAGGCGATCAGGATCCAGGAAGTCTAGCAGAGTTCTGGGTGGATGGTAGCCACTTTAAAGGGCAAAGACAAGGGATAGCGGGTTTGCAGGGAGAGGTCTGAAGAGTTCGAGGTTGCTTCAAACATTCATATGGAGGTATTAAATAAGCAGATATTTTCTAAGAAGGTTCCAATGGTGGGGGATGAAACTGAGGTAAAGGAGAGAGCAGGGATGGATGAATTAAAGTCTCAGAGAAGAAACAGGGACCAGGTTCCACAGCAAAGCCTAAGGACAGGGACATCTCTGAGGTTGGAAGATAGGACTCAGAATGGGCATGTTCAGGGTAACTGTGAGCTGTGGTAAGTTGAAGGAGCCCATGGCTGAAAGCTTCACTCCCTTCTTTTGTAGTAAGGAGGCTCACAGGAGAGGTGAGATTGGAAATGGATGCTGTTTCTGCCTTCACAGAGCAAAGCATTGGCTGTCACTGTGGATTACAGGAGGGCATGATTTCTTTTCCCCTTGAGGTTCCAGTGTGCTTATCAGCTTTCTGGCCCTTCTGTCTAGTCTCTTGTCCCCTTGATTCTGACTCATCACATCTCCATAATGACTTGCTCCATGAAACAGTTTTACCCTCTCGCACCTTTACTTTGTAAATCTTATACGTTAGTCAGCTTTCCATCACTGTGACCAAATACCTGACAAAAACAACTTGAGGAAAGATTTATTTTGGCTTACAGTTCCAGAGATTTAGTCTGTGGTTGGCCAACTCCATTGCTCAGGGCCTGAGGACAGACAGACATCATGCCCGCCGAAGGCCATGGTGGAGGAACGCTGTTAGCTCATGCAGCCAGGAAGCACAGAGGGAGAAAGGGGCCAAGAAGAAGACAAACCCCCAGACTAGGCCCCTGTGACCTGCTTCCTCTAATTAGGTCCCATTTCTCAGAGCCCTTGTGATCCAATCACTTCCCAAACATCCCACCTCTGAACCTTCCTGCATTGGGGATCATGCTTTAAATACATGAGCTTTGGGGGGACATAATAAACTGCCGCAGTCCGGCTGCAGCAAAATAACGGGGGGGGGGGGGGGTGACGAACAACTTGTGTGCATTGATACAGCAGGAGTGGAAGCCGTTTATTGTAGGACCGGAGCGATATTTATACATTCCACACAGCTTATCTTAATTAGCATAAACTAGATACATCAGTCAACCAAAAAGGAATTTTCACACTTAATGGCTCGCTGGCATTACTTCACAAACCATTCCCTCTGGCATTTTGCTAGGCGCCATCCAGACTTGTTTACAGACTCTAACAATAAACCATAATACCTTTTTTAAAAAAAATTCCTCTTGCAAACTTCTATTCTTCCAGAGATCATGGATCTTCTCTTTTCGCTACCCATTATACTGAAAGAGTTTACAAAGCCCTCAGACATATTGTCTTAATAGGCTATCTAAGCTCAGTGTACTTCATGATAACCATTGTCCTATAACTGAGTTACATCTGTCTTTTTTTTTCCTTTAAAAAAATTTTAATAATATGTTTTACTTAATGCAATATATCCAAAACATTGCCATTTCAGCATGATGTCTTTATAACTTTTATCTTAAAGGCTGAATAATAATTCATGGAAAAATTATCATGCACACCGAGCTCTGTAGTCCATCATTCATTCATTGCCTTCCATGCTCTGGCTCCTAATGACTTGTGTGCCTTTTCCCAACTTGCTTCCTTTTTCTTTTTTCCTTCCTGCCTGTTAAATGTCCTTCTCCACCTCCATCACCTAGTTCTTCATTTTAAAACTATTTGTATCCTTTAAGGCTTAGTTTAAATATTATCTGAGCTGGACATAATGGCATTTGCCTTTAATACTACGGATTTGGGACACTGAAGCAGGAGGATTACAAGTTTGAATCCATCTTGGCAATTTAGCAAGACCCTCAGCAGCTTAGACGCTGTCTCAAAATTAAAACTAAAAAGTACTAAGGAGGTAGCACTAAAAAAAAAGTCTGAAAGTAATATCTCTCTTTTATTTTTTGTCTTAACTTTCTAATGGCACTTAGCACTTTCTCCCCTAAAGTATAGTATGTGGGAAACAGTATGGAATAGGAAAAGAACACTTGACATGGAATTATAAGAAATGGAGACCACTCCCCTTTTGAGGGTGACACACACCTCTACCATTCCCTAGGAATATGTTTCCTCTTCTCCTCCTGGGACCCTTGTACCTACTTCTTTTCAGCTGGCCTCCATGCCCAGTTCCTAACAGCATCTAGTCTGGCCTCTGGAACACATGGACCACATTGGCCCCTCTCACCAGTGCATTCTTTCTCATTTTGGTAAAGGAATGTCCTTCAGGGACTTAGCAGAACACATGCAGGTGGGCTTTCCAGCTTTGCGTGTGTATCCATTCTAGCAGGCCTACCCTGAGCAGCCAGGCAGAGTGGGCCCATTGAGATGGAAGGGAAACCAACTGAAGGTAGCTGTCGTTGAGCCTAGAGAGTCAGGTGTTAGAGGAGGCAGGGGTAGGAAAGGTTTACATGAGGATCATTAGATGTAGCAAGTCTTAGTGGAGGGTTAAAAATAAAAGCTCAGTTGGAGTAGGCTGAGAAGAAAATTGAGAGGTAGGAGAGTGAGGTTTTACTGTGTTAGGGAGCAAAGGAATGAGAATGAAATGAGAGGCCAAGGAGAGAGTTATTTTTTCATGACAGGCAATATTATAATATATTTGTATGTTGATGGAAGTGATGAAGTAGAAAACTAGAATTTATTGTGAGGTAAAGAAGAGAAGGCTATTTTCAGAATCACTTGTCTTTGAGCAGGAAATGGGATCCAAACCACAAATGGTTGCTGGACTTTGATAGGCCAATAAACAATATTTTATTGTAATAGAAAGAAAGGCAGAGCCTGCGGGTACAGAGGCAGGTAGGTGGTGGGTTTTGTGGTGAGTGATCTGATGGTTGTGACTTCCCCTATTCTTTTCAGTGAAGTATGAGCTGGGGAAAGAATGAAGGACCTCCTTCTAAACGGGAGTCAGCCTGGAGAACCAGCACCCTCCTTTTTTTTTTTTTAACTAACACTCCCTTAAAAGTTATCCTTATTTTCTGTTTCCTTTTCCCCTTTACGTAAGGATTCCAGAAGAATTTTTCCCTCAATGATATAGTACAAAAAATAAATAAATAAAAGAACGAAAATTCTTTTTTAAGCCCTTGCTAGGTGAAAGGACATTTAACTCTTTGCTTGAACATAGTAAACATAACATTTTTTTGTTTGCTATTTTTTCATTTCTCACTAGGTGTGTTAGTTTAACTTTCTGTCACTCTAACAAAATACCTGAGATAAACAACTTAAAAGGAAGAAAGGTTAATTTTGGCTCACAGTTTCAGAGGTTTCAGGCCATGGTGGCTTGGCTCCATCACTCTGGGCCTTGTTGGCATGGCTTCCTGGCTGCCAAGCTGTGCAGCCAGCCTACTGGTGGTCCCTGCCAAGGAACAGCAGCAGAACAAGGCAACAGCAAAGCAGCAGAGTGGTGCCCAGGCAGCTTGGAGTAAGAGAGGCAAGCACAGCCTGTGGCCATGTGGATCTGCATAGCCAGCCAGCACTGAGGCAAGCTGAGGAGCACCAACCTGTCATCCTTTGGCAGCCAGGCCTGGCACTATACAGGATGCCTGTGCAGAAACCTGCTCCAGGCAGCACTGCAGCTCCATCTGATGACTCAACCTCCTACTTCCTGATCTGCCATGAGAAAATGGAGGTGAGGCAGACTTGAATGAAAATTGGGACTCAAAAATTGACTAATAGTATTAGTAAGCTTCCAAACCCTAATCAGCATAAATTTGGACCAATAGCAGTGAATTACGTGCTATATAAACCCCTAGACTAGCACACTTGGAGGGAGAAAACCTGCTATCAGGTACCCTTCTGCACTGCAAGAGTTCTGCTCCTGTTTCTGTTCTTCAATAGTCTTACTCTTTTATCCACTCATCCTGGTCTATGGATTTCATTCTTCAAATTCATGAGACAAGAACCCAGAAAGAAGAAGAAATTGACTAGTGAGCTGCTGTGGTCTGCTGCAACATTGCAGGCATAGCCCACCAGTAAGAGCTGTAACGTTTCTTGGCTACAGAGGCCGGCAGCCTTACACAGACCCCACCCACCAGCAGAAGCAGAGAGTTCAGTTTATCTCAAAATTCTAGTTTCATTGTGGTAAGGAGAATATCATAGCAGGGAGTGTGTAGTGGAATAAGCTGCTCACCTAACAGCAGTCAGGAAGCAGAGAAAGATAGGAAAAGACTGGGGATCCCAATATCCCCTTGAAGGCCATACCCTCAATGACCTAAGTTCCTAAAGTCCTCAGGCCCCACCTCCTAAAGTTTCCAAGACCTCCCAGTATCTCCACAGGCTGGCAACCAAAAACCTGTAGCATATAGGCTGTAGGGAACTTCAGATCCAAACCATATTATTAGGTTTACAATAAAAACTGGGTTGTAAATTTATGGAGGAAAAATGTGATTATATTAATGCCACACCTTCACTGACTAAACAAGAATTTTCTGAGTTCCCATTGGGTGTCAGGCACTCTTTTATAACAATAAGTAAGAGACATAAAGCCTCTTGGTTGCCAAGTGTTTGCAGGCAGAAGACAGATAAGAGACACTGTGAACTAGAAATTATGTGGGAGGATAACGAGCTATGAAAAGGGGGCACAGTGGGGGATTGAGAGTGTGGGAAGTGGGAGAGTTATAATTTTAAAGCAGGAGGTCAGGGTAGCCTCAGTAAGACAATGACAACTGAGTAAAGATTTGAAGTTCATGCAGTTACCTGGGGAGAATACAAAGAACAAAACTATGCTCAATAAACACATTTGCTAATAATCCTCTGCTCTTACAAATTTGGAAAGAATAAAATTATGAAAGTGGAGAATCAACGATGGATTTGCCTGAGATGTGAAACATTCTTAGAAAACAGATACCTTTGCAGATATAGGTGCACAGGGGAGACAGAGAACACAAGGAGGACATAAATAAATTAGTAGGTGTAATTCTTAATTCCAGTTCCTCTTGGAATTATCCAACAGCAGGGAAGAGTTCTAGGTGGGCACTGAGGCAAAGTGCATATATGGGGACAGTGTAGATCATAATTATGCAGAATTTGTGAGCACTCAGATCTGGGTGACTATTTTACTTCCCTGAAATATATGTTACTGCTTTTTATACTGACTGAATAGTCACATAGGTCCTTTTGTTTTCGTTTGTATATTTTGTTTTCCCTAAGTTCATCACATCAGTAACATCCAGAGTAGAAAACACTTTATTGGTTGCTGCATCTTTTGTAGCTGGCAATCTAAAATTCAAGTCCCAAGTTAGGCATGGTGGTTCATACCTGTGACTCCTGTGACTCGGGAGGCTAAGGTAGGAGGTTCACAAGTTTGACGCCAGCCTCTGCAACTTAGCAAGACCCTGACTCAAAAAGGGGTGGGGATATAGCTCAGTGGTAGAGCAACTCTGGGTCCAATTCTCAGTACGACAACAATAAAATAATAGTATAAAAAGTTAAGTCCCAAATAAAATCCACAAGGAATCATTGATAAAATCACTGGAATGAAGTCATGGGTTAGGCCTAAACTGAATTTACCTTGCTGGTTCAGGGTATGTCTAAATATGTCTTGAGAAAAAAGAGTCAGGAGACACTGTTGATGCAGTAATGGAGTACAGAGGTGCCTTTGAGTACAGCATTATGTTTTCAACTTTAGCTTTTAGTATAGTCCCCATTAGTTTCTTTCTGGTGCTAAGAGAGAACAGCAAGTTAAATAGAAGAATGTATTTATCAAATATGAAAAAACAGGGGCTAGGACTGTGGCTCAGTGGCAGAGTGCTTGCCTTGCATATATGAGGCACTGGGTTCGATCCTCAGCACCACATAAAAATAAATAAAAAATCAAGAAAGAGAAAAGTAGGTATTGTGTCCATCTAAAACTAAAAAAAAAAATTTAAAAAAACAGCTGGGCCAGGTGGTGTGCGCTTGCCTGCTACTTGGGAGGCTGAGGCAGGAGGATAGTAAGTTCGAGGCCAGCCTGGGCAACTTAGGGAGACCCTGTCTCAAAAAAAAAAAAAAAGGCTAGGGATGTAGCTCAGTGATGATAGAGCATCTTGGGTTCAATCCCCAGTACAAAAACTACAACAGGGCTGGGCGTGTGGCTCAGTGGTAAAGTGCTTGCCTAGCACCTGTGAGGTACTGGGTTTGATCCCCAGCACCACATAAAAAAATTTTAAAAATAAAAAAAACCTTAAATAAACAAAACTAACAAGAACAAAACTGTCAAACCTTCCGAGCACAGGCAGGTCTGAACATAAACTTATAAAACAGAAAGCGGGGAGGGAGATTCTTCCTGTCAGTGGAGAATTCAGCAAGATACAGCACCACAACAAACTGGGTCAGCAGTCTTGGGGGCCTTGGCACTGAGTGGCAGCTTGGTTAGCTGTGCGAAGAGGCAAAATGGGGGATACCCTTGTAATAGCACCACCACAAGTAGCAGAGCGGCTGAGTTGATTCATCCCAGCACTATCAGGTTGACTTTAGCAGATGGAAATAGTAGCAGCAGTCACAAGCTGCTTTTACAAGGACCCCAGAACTGTGAGATCTTAAGCTGAGACAATACAGGAGTACAACAGCAGATGCCCTAGGGTTATGGAGTCTGGAACCAGGCTGTCCTATAAAAGCTTGTATCTGCCACTTGCTAGCTCTGTGTGTGTGTGTGTGTGTGTGTGTGTGTGTACTGGAGAGTGAACCCAGGAATACCACTGAGATCCATCCCCAGCCCTTTGAACGTTTGATTTTGAGACAGAGTCTTGCCAAGATGCTCAGGAATTCACCAAATTGCTGACACTGTCCTGGAATTTGTGATTCTCCTGCCTCAGCCTCCCAAATCGCTGGGATACAGGTGTGTGCCACCATGCCCAGCCCATTTGCTAGCTTTTTGAAGGCTCAGTACGTTAATTAATGAATTCATGGATGAAAAGTAACTGACAATATAATAAAAACCAAGAGTTAACTTACTCTCTTCATCATCTATATGACATCTCACATTGGTCCAGTCCAAAATACCTTGTATTTTGATCCAATGCAAGAAATGACATAAAAAAAAAAAAAAAAGAAGAACAGATTATCACAGCAACCCAAATCCGACATAGTGGATAGAGAAACTAAAGAAAATTGTAGAGTCATCTTTTATTTTTTTTTTTTTAAATTTTATTTTTAGGTGGACACAATATCTTTATTTTACATTTATGTGGTGCTGAGGATCGAACCCAGTGCCTTGTGCATGCTAAGCAAGTGCTCTACCACTGAGCCACAACCCCAGCCCCTGTAGAGTCATCTTTTAAAACTTCATAACTGTCACTACTTTCTATAGAAGAGGGTGTGGGCGGATAGGGGGCAGATTTTCCACTGTATATTTCTCTTTGAACAGTGTTACCCTCACCCAGTTGTCTCTTCTTTTAAAAGTCACACAGGCAGTTCATGTTCCTTACATCACCGTTACTAAGAATTGTGCAAAATCCTTATCGCGCCTTGCACCAAGCGGATCCTCATTCAAATAACTAAGCACTGACTACACTAAATTGAGATCCAGGCGCCGGCAAACCGCAAGGCGCCGGCCATCACGGCCGCGGGCAGCTGACTCTCGCGGGAACCCGAGGCCCAGGCAAGAGGCCACGTGTCTCGGCGGGCGGCTGGTACTCTCCGCCTCTCGGCTGTAGCAGCCACGTTGCGGCGTTCGGCAGTCAGGGGAGGGGTGTGGCGAAGGCCCGTGCGCGTTACGTGCCCCGCCCCGCCCCTGACGGAGCCCGGATGAAGAGTAACGCCATTACCGCCGGAGCCGCCGAGAGCACTCGCGGACTGGGACTAGACACTGGACCGGCCGCGCCATGAGACTCCTCCCCCGCCTGCTTCTGCTCCTCTTGCTGGTATTCCCCGCCACCGTTTTGCTCCGAAGCGGCCCGGGAGGTGAGGCGAGGGGAGTGGGCGGCGGGGTTGGCAGTTCAGGAGACGCCGGCGACAAGTTTGAAGTTGGAGGCGGCAGAGCTTCGGCTCCTGGGGACCGCGTCCACCTCGACGGCCTCCCTCCCCTTGCTCCCCAACCCCCGGCTCGTGGTAGGCGGCTGGCGCGCGTGCAGAGTCCACGCCCTGCCTGACCCTTGGTCCTTTCCGCGCGGAGGGCCGTGCCGGAGCGACTTTGCTCCCGCGGCCGGGACCCACGCCTGCAGAGGTGGCCGGAGTTGGGTGGTGTGCGGCCGGAGCTGGAGGGTGTGCGGCCGGAGCCGCAGGCTTGGGGCGGCGGGTGCTGCGCCCGCAGAGCGCTGCAGCCCGGTTTTCTTTTGGCCGCCTCCAGCGCCGCTCCACCCCCATCCTCTAGCTCTTGGGCTGACGTGTCTTTAGCTTCCACGCTAGGAGTCCTCCTTAATTCATTTGCTGAAACTCCTGTTTTCTGCACACCCATGCTATTAGAGCATCGTTTTTCTGGTCCTCTGTCTTTGCTTATCCGCATCTGATCCCTGTGTGTTATCGGGAGGCTTGATTTCCGAAAAACTCCGCATCCTCACTCAGTTGTCAGCCTCTGGTCCTAGGCAGACTGCAGAATCCCTACGGGATCTCTCATTCAATGGCTTTCCTTCTGTCCGTCTTTCTTTCTTTCTTTCTCTCTCTCTCTCTCCCTTTCTTCCTTCCATTTTTCCTTTCTACTTTTTGTTGGTTGGAAATACCCTATTATGCTGGGAGGCGAGAGTGGACTTTGAGCCCTACTCTCCCCCACCCCAATTTATATAGGTTTATTCATTTCAACAGTTAAAAAACTTGGGTGAAAAAACTTAGATGGCAGAACCTAAAAATGTGGAATCTTGGCTTCTTGCCCTGGTATTATGAACTTCGGTGTCCAACTTGTAAAGTGAAAGAATTAGTCTAAGTGGTTACTAGAACCCATTCCATAAGTTTAAACTCTGTGGCCTAATGAATGATGGTGACCAGTGCCCACAAGCTGTTTGGCAAAGAAGAGTGAAGGGACTGGTTTCTGTTTAGTGGCTTGTATAACTTTAAACTACTACTATGTCCTGAGAGTTTTTTTTTTAACTGAAAATGACTTGTAAAATTAGGAAGGTACCATTTTAGCAGTAGGAACTCAAGGAGGTGAAAAAAACTTGAAGTGTACAGTACTTAATAAATACCATTTTCCCTGGATATTGCACATGTTTCCCTTTCCACATTTTCCCCCGCTCCACTGAACTGCCACATCATCATTCTTTCTGCTGGAAGAGTTTCAGGAACTTTGAAATGCTTTTGAGGGTCTTGCCAGAAACAGATACATTGTGACTTGCTTAGAATACTTTTGCCTACAAAATTGATTTATAATTTCTTGGCATTATGAGTGTACATAACTTTTGCTTATAATATTTAAAAGTAGCAAAGCCATATGCAAAAATAATTGGACTCTTTCTTTGCTCTCAACCCTGAAGTTACAATATGTTTTTACTAAACAATGTATTTTGTGCTAGCTAGTTTTTTTTTGGTACTGGGCATTGAACTCAGGGGCACTTGACCTCTGAGCCTCGTCCCCAGCCCTATATTGTATTTTTTTTGGAGATGGGTCTCACTGAGTTGCTTAGAGCCTCGCTTTTGCTGAGGCTGGCTTGAGGAACTCCCACTCCTCCTGCCTTAGCCTCCTGAGCCACTTGCGCCACTGTGCCTGGCACAAGCTAGTTTTTATCATAGGGGAAGATACAGGTATTAGTCATTTTTAGTTACTTGTTAGTAGATTCTAAGAGTTTCAGCTGTTGTCAGCTCTGATGTTTCTTGCCTAGATATTGAGAATGTTATTTTCTTTTAAACCTGGATGTTTTTTGTTTTATTTTATATGGTTAATGACAGGGATTAAATTTAGGGGAGTTTCCTTCCTTTGCACCAAACTTATTATTATTTTTTTATTTGCTTAACCAGATTGCTTGAAGTTCTTCATCTGGAATTCAGGGGATCTTCAATTTCTGCAGTTCATTTTCTAGCTGTTGGGTGCTTTTTAAAATTAAACAGTATTTTCTATTAAAATTAATAAGCAGTTAAGAATACTAGTAAAATAATACAAGTATTTTTAGATGTAGTATGTAATTTGTCATCATTCAAGTGGCTGGGGGATTAAGTTACTCCAGTGTGAACATTTTGTTGCTTATACCTAATATTTAAAAAAGTTAGTATTCCAGGTGAAGGATAATTGCTTACTTTGTATTTTATCAATAGGCTCATTAACGGTGGCACAGGATCTTACAGAGGATGAAGAAACAGTGGAAGATTCAATAATTGAAGATGAAGACGATGAAGCTGAGGTAGAAGAAGATGAACCCACAGATTTGGTTAGTGTTATACTATTTAATACAAAGTTTGGTATTAAAATTTTTACTGTCAGTGGTTTGTTATTATGATCAAAATGGATTGAAGTTGGGTGAATAGGAGCTTGTCATTGAGGATAGAGCATATGTATTGAGCTGGAAGGAGACATGACACACTTAAAGAATGATTCAAGATCATACTAACGGGCATGAATTTAGGAAGCTAAATGTAGTGGGACTAGCAGTGGACCAGGAGTGGATAAATTTGGGGTCCATGGTGTTTAGCCTTCAGGCTTCTCTTTCTGGGTCTCAGTTTTCTCGCTTTCATTCAATAAGCAGTCATTGAGTCTCATGTAGTGAGTCTGTGCTGTTCTGGATGCTGCTTTGGACAGACGGGATATGTGTGTTGGTGGGATGAGGTAAGGAACAGATGACAAATAATATGTAAAATATGTCCTGTAAAGAGTGAGGGGGTTAGAGAAGACCTCTTAGTTGTCTAGCCATGAATTTTTTTACTGTATAATTATAGTAAAACAGAATGGCAGGCTGGAATCATGATCATTGCAGCATGCTTCTGGATAATTTAATTTCCTCTTTGGGACTACTGTAGTCCTATTGTATAGGATAGATTTTTTTGTGTGTTTATATGGTGCTGGGGGGTTGAACCTAGGGCCTTCTGCATGCAAGGCAAGCACTCTACCAACTGAACTATATCCCTAGCCTGAGATTTTTTGTTAATATATATGTTTTTTAGTTCTAGGTAGGCACAATAACTTTATTTTATTTTTGTATGGTGCTGAGGATTGAACCCAGTGCCTTACGCATACTAGGCAAGCATTCTACAACTGAGCCACAATCCCAGCCCAGATTTTTTACATAGATATTTGTTGTTTTGTTTTTCTTTTTGGTACTGGGGATTGAACCCAGGAGTGCTCTGCCACTGAGCTACATCCTCAGACCTTTTTTATATTTTATTTAGACATAGGATCTCGCTAAGTTGCTGAGGCTGCCCTTAAATTCATAATCCTCCTGGCTCAACCTTCCAAGCTACTGGGATTACAGGTGTATACCACTGAACCCAGCTTTTTTTTTAGATATACATGACAGTATGTTGTATTTTGACATATATATATATGGAGTGCAATCTATTACAGGTTTGATCCCATTCTTATTGTTGAACATGATGTGGAGTTACACTGGTTGTGTATTCATATATAAGCATAGGAAAGTTATATCTGATTCATTCTGCTGTCTTTCCTGTTCCCATTGCGCCCAGCTTAACATAGGTTTTCTCATGCTATGCACCTAAAACCTTTCATGACTCTAAATGTCATTTTCTTCTAAGGTTGAACCACCAATTTCCTATTTTCCTGCTATTTTAATATCAAAGTAATTAACCTTAAATACAGATTTCTTCTTTGATTTCATTTTCATGGGGTATATCCTTCACGTAAGCTAATCTTATCTTGTGATTTATTTTTATTTGTATTTAAAATTTTTTTGGTACTGGGGATTTAAGCGAGGGGCGCTGAACTATAACCCCAGTAATTTTTTTTTTTTTTTTTTTTTGTAACTTTGAGACAGGATCTCACTAAGCTGCCCATGATAGCCACTCAATGTCTTCCTTACTCTCCCAAGCAGCTGGAATTAGAGAAGCATGTGCCACCACGTCTGGTTCTTTCTTGAAGAAAGACTACCCTGTACAGTTTCTTCCTTTTCACGCTTGTTCTCTACCATGGTCTGGTCCCATATATCTAGTGAAACTATTCTTACTAAGGTCACCAGCAACCTGATGGCCAAAATCCTGGCCTGTATTAGGTATGATATTTGAACTCTTTAGCATTTTCTAAGTATACTTTCCTTGAATCCTTTAATGTTGGCTTTGGTTACAATCCTCTCAGTGTTCCTTTACCAGTTTCTGCTTTTTGATTTTTCTGTTACCTTCTCTTTCTCTGCCTACTCCTGTAATGTTGGTGAAACCTTTTTTTAACTACTACCACCCTTTATTAGTGATTTTCTAGCCTCATTTCTGAGCACCATACTGATATCTCCAGCTCTTCACAGGATAGCAGTGTCTGGGTGCTCCATTAAGTACCTCAAATTTTAATGTCCACAAAGGAAGTCAGCACTTAACATCCATCCTACTTCATATTCCTGGTTTGATAGACTCTGGTGATTTGAGCTGTTGTCTTATTAACTTCTTCCATTTCATTTTAGTCTGCAGCCCATTAATCATATCTTAAATGTGATTGTTCTTTGTTGTTTCTCAGGTACATTTTTTTCCACTTTATTCCTACATTTTATGGTTTTTCCTACTTGGGGGTCTTTTTGTTTTTTCCCCCTGAGATGCTGTTTTGCCTGGGCTGATGTTAAATTCTTGGACTCAGAAGATTCTCCTGTCTCAGCTTCCTGTGTAGCTGGGACTTTCTTGAGGGGTCTCTTTTCCCAAAAGTAAAAACTTTTAAATAAATGGTATCATTAAGAATATTTAAAATTTAATGCAGTTCCTCATTCATTGGAAGGTTTGAGTGCCTTTTCATCTACAGAATGTTTAAAGCCAATGAACAATGACACCCATATACCCATTTGTTCCATATACACCTAAAGGTGATGTTATAACCCATAAGCATCTCAGTTTATGATTGTTCATCTGAAGACATGGTGCTTCTCTCAGGTTTAACATTTTAAATATTAAATTTATTCACATTTTCAGTGAGATACAGTTTTAGCATAAAAATCCCATTTTTAAGTATACAATCTGATTTTTAGTAAATTTACCAAGTTTTAAGACACATCCAGTTTTAGGATATTTCTATCACCCCAATAAGATCCTTGATCGCTTACTCTTTCTCTTCTCTTTTTCTTGCACTGGAGAGTTAACCCAGAGGTGCTTTACCACGGAGCTACATCCCTAGACGTTTTTATGTTTTATTTTTTTATTTTGAGACAGAATCTCACTTGAGTTGCTGAGGCTAGCCTTGAACTTGGAATCCTTCTTTCTCAGCCTCCCAAATCACTAGAATTATAGGCTTGTGCCACCACACCTGGCTCGCTCTTCTTTAAAACGTTTCTTTCAAATTATGTGGCTGATTCTTTTTTTAAAATATTTTTTAGTTATAGTTGGACACGATACCTTTATTTATTTGCTTGTTTTTATGTGGTGCTGAGGATTGAACTCAGCGCCTCACACATGCTAGGCGAGCACTCTACTGCTCAGCCCCAGCCCCAGCCCCATGTGACTGATTCTTAGGGGGAAATTTTCCTTTTAATTAGAATGGAAATTGTTGTAGACTATTAACAAGATCCACAGGGGTGGGCAAAATTTGGCTTCAGAACAGACATAACCTTGCTTATTCATTTATTTTCTGTGACTGCTTTCATGCTATAACCTTGAGCATTTTCAAGAGGGATTTTATGGTTTGCAAAGCTTTATTTACTATTTAGTTTTTTACAGGCAGTTAGCTTACCAACCCTTGATCCAGAATCTTGCAGTTCAAAGTGTGGTCAGAATACTAGTAGTCTTGGCATTTCCTTGATGCTTTTATTAGAATTAAAGAATTTCAGGATTCACACTAGACCCTGAGTCAGATCTGTCAGATTCCTTGGGAATTGGTATGAACATTTAGATGCACTGTTTAAGTTAGCTAAAGAGATACAGTGATGTTCATCCCACTAATACTGACAAAGCCATGAAGAAGCAATATTTTGTCCCAAATCTGATAAAGTGTCTGTATGTAAGTGATCTCCCCCACCCCTAGTAATTTCTTTTTAATGTTTTCTTTCTTAGGCAGAAGATAAAGAGGAAGAAGATGTATCTGGTGAACCTGAAGCATCACCAAGTGCAGATACAACTATCCTGTTTGTGAAAGGAGAAGGTAATATAGAATTGCTAGTTTCAATTCAGATGTGAGTTTTTAAATGCAAGCCTTTTTTTTTTTTTTTTTTTTTAAGGCGGGGAGAGCATTGGTGTAATACTTAAGGTCTTTTTTTAAGCTCCTTTTATATAAGGAGTATTGTGCAAAACAAGTATTTTGGAAAAAATCTCATATATATGGGTACCAATACCTGTATAGTGGTATTGCAGGTATTTTAACTAAGGGGAATAATAAATCCTATCTAGTTTAACTAGAAGTTAGATTTCCATTTTAAAGATATTGGTTTTTAAAAAAAAGTATTTTATTTTCAGTTGTAGTTATGCACAATATCTTTATTTGTTTATTTATTTATTTTAAAGAGAGAGAATTTTAATATTTAATTTTTAGTTTTCGGCGGACACAACATCTTTGTATGTGGTGCTGAGGATCGAACCTGGGCCACACGCATGCCAGGCGAGCGTGCTACTACTTGAGCCACATCCCCAGCTCCAATTTTATTTATTTATTTTTATATGGTGCTGACGATCGAACTCAGGGCCTCACACGTGCTAGGAAAGCACTATACTGCTGAGCCACAACCCCAGCCCAAATATATTGTTTTTAAAATTCTTTCAAACTACCTCAGCAAAGTAATTTTGCTATATTTTGAGTATGTAAATATTAGTGAAATATTGTACCTTTTGATTAGTCCTTGGATAGAACCTAGATAACTGTGCTATATTTTAAAATCTTTCCAAGTAGGTCTTGATTAGAGCCTAGGTTTCTTTAAAAGAAAATACAGATTGAGTATCCCTTACCTGTAATATTTAGAACCAGAAGTTTTTTTGGATTTTGGAATATTTTTGTCTATATATAATGAGGTATCTTAGGAATGGAACCAAGGTCAAAACATGAAATCCATTTGTTCCATATACACCTAAAGGTGATGTTATACAGTTCTTTTAGTGCACTGATATTTTAACTATAATCCATCACTTGAGTATCAGTTGTGGAATTTTCTACTTGTAACATCATATTGGCACTCAAGTTTCAGATTTTAGAGCATTTCCAGTTTTTAAATTTGGGATGTTCAACCTATAAATATGTAATGCTTGATGTTTATTGAAGATAGCGTAGTAGGCACTGTTCTCAATATTTCACAAATATTATTTAATCCTAACAAACCCCAGAGTTACCCAGTTTATAAATAGATCATGGAGACCATATTCAAATCTAGATCTGTCTGACTGTACAACTTATGTCATACTGGATGAAGCTTAGCTTGATTGACAGTGACATAATTCAACATTTAATATGAAAATGTGTTCTATTTTATACTCATGTGTTATGACTTCCACCTACAGGCTACAAAAAGTATAAGTGATTTTTAAAAATTTATTTTTGTAGCTGATTTACCTTCAAATTTGCATTTTTGACTACTTGTGTAATTGGATAGGAATTCAAAAATGCAATTTTTTTTTTTTTGTTCTAGTAAACACAAGTGTTCCAATGAACCCCTTAGATTTTTTTCTTTGTCATTTTTCTCTTTATTTGTATAGGTACTCAGTTGTATAACTCCCTACACAATAATCTTGCTACCAGAAGGACCCAACTTTTTCTTAGACCACAGAATTTGGGTATTATCTAGTCTGAAGTCAAGATGCTCAGTTCAGCTCCCAAGTTGGAGTGCTCAAGCATAGACAAAATTGAGTGTCAGCGTACACTCTAGCTCCAGTCTTTCACTAGTTAGCATGTGACTGGACTGTTCTCTGGAAAAGGATTCTGAAACCAAGTCTGAATACAGCAGGAAAGTGTGCCAGCGTCCATTAGTAATGTGTGTTGCATTTGTACTCTGAATATGTTCTAATTTTTTTGTCTTTTTTTGTTTCTCAGATTTTCCAGCAAATAACATAGTGAAGTTCTTGGTAGGCTTTACAAACAAGGGTACAGAAGATTTTATTGTGGAATCCCTAGATGCCTCATTTCGTTATCCTCAGGACTACCAGTTTTATATCCAGAATTTCACAGCTCTGCCTCTGAACACTGTAGTGCCACCCCAGAGACAGGCCACTTTTGAGTATTCCTTCATTCCTGCAGAGCCCATGGGTGGACGACCCTTTGGTCTGGTCATCAATCTGAACTACAAAGACTTGAATGTAAGTCCTTCTAAACCTTTTTACTTTTTACTTTTTTTTTTTTTTTTTTTTAAGGTTAGAGATTGTTGGGGATAATTAACATTGTTAAATATTTTTCTGTACAGGTGCCTATTTTGTGGTTGAAACCATGGTAGGCACCAAGGTCGTGAATGTAAATTCGCAAGTGTCTTGGAGTCTATAATTTGCAGGAGAGGTGGTTGAAAACAGTGATGAAACTGCTGAGTGACCCGCACTAGAGGTGTCTTGTGTTTAGGTGCACTCACATGAGTGTGGAAGTGACTTGATCTGGATCTTAGAAGGAAAAAGCAATATGCCACTCAATAGTCTACTACTTATTTAGAGGTTAATATATGTAATTTGCTCCTGTCATTGCCTGATTTTGGCCTATTTTACTACTTCTACTTTTTTTGTAGCTGGTTTTTCATCATTTTATATATTCAGATAAAATAAAACCAGCTCTCTCTTTTTTGGGGGGAGGGGGTGATACAGGGGCTTGAATCCCAGGGTACTTTACCACTGAGCTACATCCCCAGCCCCCTTTTTTTGGTACCAGGGATTGAACTCAGGGGCATTTGACCACTGAGCCGCATCCCAGCCCTATTTTGTAGTTTATTTAGAGACAGGGTCTCACTGAATTGCTTAGTTCCTCGCAGTTCCTGAAGCTGGCTTTGAACTCACAATTCTCCTGTCTCAGCTTCTCAAGCTGCTAGGATTACTGATGTACGCCACTGCACCCTGCTCCCAGCCCTTTTTATTTCAATTTTTTCTTCTCTCTTTCTTCCTACTACTAGGGATTGAATCCAGGGGTACTTTACCACTGAGCTATATCCCTAGTCTTTTATTTTTGAAATAGGATGTCACCAAATTTCTGAGTCTGCCCTCAAACTTTTGATCCTCCTGCGTCCGCCTCCCCAGTTGCTCAGATCACAGGTGTGCACCTCTACATCTAGCTTATAGCCAGATAGTTTTAGCAGCAGGGTTTATGGGTTGGCTTTAATTTATGAGAACCAAATGTCCTGAATATAAGCTGATGTTTTATGATATGTATTTTTATGTATATTCAGTGACTGAACAAGAAGCACTAAAATTTTACTTTTGGCAGTTGACTTCTTGGTGAAAACTGTTCTTCAGAGAACACATCTGAACAATTCCCTTTTCAAAGTTTTCTTCTTAGAAGTTGTTCATGGGCTGGGGATGTGGCTCAAGCGGTAGCGCGCTCGCCTGGCATGCGTGCGGCCCGGGTTCGATCCTCAGCACCACATACAAACAAAGATGTTGTGTCCGCCGAAAAGCTAAAAAATAAATATTAAAAAAAAAAAAAAAGAAGTTGTTCATGATTTTCATTATCCTAGTGTTAACATGTTTACCTGAGTTAAATTTCTTGTATTACAATTAAATTTTTCATTTTTTTAAAATATTTATTTTTTAGGTGTAGATGGACACAGCACAATGCCTTTATTTTTATGTGGTGCTGAGGATTGAACCCGGGTCCCACCCATGCTAGGGTAGCGCTCCACCACTGAGCCACAATCCCAGCCCCTAAATTTTTCATTTTTAGAGTTATTTAGTAGAAAGTAGGAAAGTTTTTCATTTTTTTAAAAATATTTTTTAGTTGTCAATGTACCTTTATTTATTTATGTGCAGTGCTGAGATCAAATCTAGTGCCTCACACATGCTAGGCAAGCACTCTACCACTGATCCATTACCCCAGTCCCTGTTTTTTCATTCTTTATGTTTTCAAAATATGATACTAAGTTTCCTGAACTTTATAATTATGTAGTTTGAAAATTATCAATTTTATCCTATTTTTAAATCGAACTAAATCCAGTTGGTAAAGTGTAGTGTCAGTTTCGTTTTGAGTGCACATTGAAAGACCTTGAAATAAAATTACATAATTAGTATTTAGCAATAAGTGGTGGTTTTGAAAATATACTACCTGTGTGTAGAGCATTGAATATTGAGAACAGCTGTCTATGACCCATTAATTTTTCAAGACCATAACAATAAAATATTTTGATTCTGAAAATCAGCAACCCATTTATTTTGAAGGAATTGGTTTTCATCCCATTGTCAGTTTAGAACATAATTTTGACTTTTGTTCGGGTCTGTGTGATCTGCCACTGCAGCTACTGTTCTACATTTTCATGCTTCCATCCATATGTTGGAGGATTGCAGACAAACTTGAGCTGCAGGTATCAGAATACTCTGAGTTTTGTTTCTTTCTGCAAGTTTTATCTCATTTTTACTCTTTCCTTGGTCCTTGTGCCATCTCCCCACTCCTCAAAGAAAGTGGAGGATAACAGAGCTTGAGACATTTTTATTTTATGGAAGAAATTGAAATCAGAATGTTGAGTCCCTGGCATTGAATAGTGCAAGTATATGACTTTGTAAAGTCTTTCCTTCTAGATGATGAGAGAGCTATAAGAAATCTGTTACAGAGTACCAGTTTTAACAAATCTTACGAGAGTTCCTTCTCTCAGTGCATTTCAAATTTTTGTGAATTTTTTTTTTTTTTTAAAAAGTTTATTCTTTACAGGGCAATGTATTCCAAGATGCTGTCTTCAATCAAACGGTTACAGTTATTGAAAGAGAAGATGGGTTAGATGGAGAAACGTAAGTGAAAAAGTTTTAGAACTTGATCTCTCAAGGCAGGACTAGAGGGCATGTTCTGATTTCAAAGTATTGTTTTTAATGGTCAAAATAGAATGGACTATACAGATTTGGTGAAACCTTTACTACATAGATCCATACTGTATGTGATTCTTTTTTTAAAGAGAGAGAGAGAGAGAATTTTAATATTTATTTCTTAGTCTTCGGCGGACACAACATCTTTGTTTGTATGTGGTGCTGAGGATCCAACCCGGGCCGCACGCATGCCAGGCGAGCCCGTTACCGCTTGAGCCACATCCCCAGCCCTGTATGTGATTTTTGTATGTATAATACCAAGCTAGGAAAGATGATTCAAACTGACGAAAAATCCTTTAAAAGGTATTAGTTGGCTTTCTGTCCTAAATTCTTTTCTACTCCATGCTTTCTGAAGCTGATCATTAGCCAAAGCTAAGATATGTGCCTCTAAAATTCCTGACTTTTTGTAAATTATATTTTTATCTTGAAAAATATGTTCTTTTTGAATGATGAATCATTTCTTATTTCTTATATATGTTGACCTAAAGTAATTTTTAAACCCATTTGCACAGAATAAACTAAAATTATGAAATGTGTTAGAATTATAGTTGTAATTAGCTGTGGTATTTCTTATGAATTACAGCCAATTTATGTTTTTTCTTTTATGCCAGAATCTTTATGTATATGTTCCTCGCTGGTCTTGGACTTCTGGTTGTTATTGGCCTTCATCAACTCCTAGAATCTAGAAAGGTAATTAATGTTTGAACAATTCCTTTTTTTTTTTTTTTTTTTTTTTGCTACCGGGGATTGAACTCAGGGGCACTCAACCACTGCGCCACATCCCCAGCCCTATTTTGTGTTTTATTTACAGACAGGGTCTCACTGAGTTGCTTAGTGCCTCACTTTTCCTGAGGCTGAATTTGAACTCGCGATCCTTTTGTCACTACTTCCCCAACCGCTGGGATTACAGGCATGCACCACTGCGCCCAGCTTGAACAACTCTCAAAACCATTCTTTAAAAGTTGTTACAGTACTAAGTTAAGCTTGATCTAATTCTTCATGACTTCTTATTCTCACTGTAGGTTTCTAGAGTTACAGCTTCATTGCACCTTTTTAAAATGAAACCCAAAGGTGAAACTTTGGATATACGACTTGAATTTGTTGAGACTTTGAGACATGCACACAATTAGTGTCCTTTGTCTACATCCTCTAGTGTGACCTGTATACCTGTACTATCTTTTTTTTTTTTTTTTTTTTGCAGTACTGGGGATTAAACCCAGGGCTACTTTACTACTTATCTATATCCCCAGCCCTTTTTTTATTTTTTATTGAGAAAGGGTCTTGCTAGTTGCTGAGTCTAGCCTTGAACTTGATATCCTCCTGCCTCAGCTTCCTGATAAACTGGGATCAGATATGTGCTACTGCACCTGGAAATTATTTTAACTGTGAATTACCCTAGAATTTTTATTCCTGAAATTCAGAAAGTTTTTTTTTTTTTTTTACCTAGAATTACACTATTTCATGTTTTTTTTTTTTTTTTTTTTTTTTTTTAGTTTTTTTAGTTGTAGATGGATACAATACTTTTTATTTATTCGTTGCTGAGGATCAAACATAGTGCCTCACATGTACAAGGCAAGCGCTCTGCCACTGAGCTACAATCCCAGCCCTTTTCATGTTTTATCTGAAACCAACCCAGCTTTTTATTTTCACTTCATTATTCTTAATTATGGAGCTTATTCTTAGTGAATGAGTTCTTTCACATGATAAAGAATGAATTTGACTGTATTTGTCCTATTGATCAAACATCTACTTAATTAAGCGTAACACTGAAGTACCCACCCCCATCATGGTTCTCTCTGGTTTTGGTGGCTAACTCTTCCATCATGTCTTCACTGCCTACGCCTCTCCCCTTTTTCCTCATTCACTCTCTCTCTCAATTCTCTTCTTCCCACACCACAAAAAGGAAAACCCATCCCGTTCTTCTAGTGGGAATGCATTACACCATTTGTGTCAAATACTGTAATATAATTCTTTAGGCCCTAAACAGTTGCTCTCCATTTTCAGAGTGTTTATAACTATCTTTGTGTTGTTTTCATAACAGTTGGATTTTTGCTGTGCATTTACATATTTGGTATAACTGACTACAGTTTGCTTTTTCATTTAAACAAAGCTATTTTCAGTTATTCTTTGTATTCAGAATTAACTTATGATCTAAACAAATAATACTGCTTATAGATAATGAGGTTGTACTTGTTTAGTTGTATCTAGCTTACAATGTCAGATAGCCTTTTTGCAACTTTTTAGTAATTATTCTGAATTTCATTGGCCAGAAATTTATTCTTTGATTTTGATTCCTAAGTGGAAAGAAAATCATTGTATAAGTAGACATTCTTGTTTTGTCCACCAGTGGTATAATACAGAGTTTTATAGCAAGGATAAAAGTATTTTATTATTTGTAGTACTGAGAGTTGAACCCAGAGGCACTTTGACACTGAGCTACATCTCCCAGACCTTTTTAACTCTTTATTTTGAGACAAGGTCTCGATAATTTGTTGAGGCTGACCTTGAGCCTCCTGAGTGGTGGGGATTATAGGTGTGTACCACTGCATCCAGTGAATTCTTTATATTAATGCTAGACATGATTTTAGTCTTCTAGTGAATAAAATATTTGTTAGGAGTATGTTTTAACACTGGAAAAGAACATAATTTATTTACTAAGATCAGATGAAATTTTTTGATTGTGTTTTAAAAATTAGAATAAGCAACATAATGGAACTCTTTTGAAATACATTTCTCTTAGCGCAAGAGACCCATACAGAAAGTAGAAATGGGTACATCAAGTCAGAATGATGTTGACATGAGTTGGATTCCTCAAGAAACTTTGAATCAAATCAGTAAGTAGTCTTACAAACTTGGTGGGAAGTATTTCTCTTAAATGAAAATTAAATATTTTAGATTTAGCAAAAAAATGTGTGGCTAATACTACTTAGCATTTGTCTTTTCCACTGTGTAAAATCTAGAACAATGACTAATGAAGACTTTGAACATTTATTGTTTTTAGTATTTTTTATACTTTCATTTAGAAATGCCTCCAAACCTGCAGTTTATTTACAAATGTGTGAATTCTTTACATTCCTAATCTTTTTCCTGTCTCTTTTCTTTCCTGTTGCTTCAGTGCAGAGTAGAAGAGGTGAGGCAATTAATTTTTCTAATGCCATTTGCTAGAGTTTTGGGGGCTCTTGTATAGTGTATGAACGCTTTATAGCAAATTTGATGAGTAATGGAACAGTTTTCTAGTACTAAATTTTATTGGAAAAACCATCACTAAACCTAAAATACTACCTGATAGTTTAACCTAACAGATATTATTACATAGGCAGTTTGTTAAAATAACTATTTAAAGTAGGAATTTTTTCCCTCCAAGTGAAGGACTTTTAAGAAGCATTTATTATAAAGCAGTATAGCCTCATTGCACAGTTTTAGATTGTACAGTAGTGAAAAAGTCAGCTCCTGGCTTTACAAATCCCATTTTCAACAAATGATTGGTGTTAAGTTCACATTTGTATTATAGGTATTTTCTGTACATATGTTTCTATATGAGTGTTCAGTACAGGTGGTTTTTCACTCTTTAAAAAAAAATGCTAATAAATACCCTTATGTGTAAATTCATAGGATGACTTCTTGAATGTAGAATCAATAGGTCTCCGGTTATGTGCATTTTAATTTTTGTGGAAAGTGTCTTATTTCCATTCCAAAAGTTAGTACTAATTTATATTCTCAGGAGTGTGTCCTCCACTTTCACTAATCATTCTTAAGTATTAAATGTTATGAGTGTTTTAATTTATCATTAAAGAATGAGGTTCAACTTTTTTATACATGCATTTACTGACTTTAGTTTTTAGTTCCTTTTTTGTTTGTTTGATTTTTTGTTTTCCTTTGCTTGTTCAAGTCCTTAGTTTTAAAAATTGAGTTGACTCTGTGAGCTAGCGCTCTCTATTCCAAATATAATTTCCATATGACAGGTACTTTATTAAAAGTGAATACAAAATCTTGAGAGCTTGGTAGGATCTTCTAGGAAAGGAGGAAATCACTCCCAGGAACAGTCGACCTTTGTTTGGAGACTTGAACAGTTGGAGAAGGACTCTTCAAGGTTTTTTGTGCCATGCTAAATACTTTTGCCCTATCTTCTAGGCAAAAAGTAGCCATCAGACACTTTAAAGTAGATGAATAACAATTTTATGTTTTAAAAAGAATTTATAATAGCTTTGTGGAGGACAGCTGGCTACAGGAGCTACTGAAAGCTGAGATGCCAGTTGATGATTTCAGGAATGTACAGGAGAAATAATGAGGGCCTAAACTGAGGCAGAAGTGTTGAAAGATGTGCAGCATTCAGGACTTTTGGTGATGCTGTTTTTGTTTGTTTTTGGCTGTTGTGGGGAGATGGAACCAATAATGTCCCATTGTCTGAGGAAGCAGCCAGAGCACATAGGATGGACAGGAATGAGTTTGGATTAGATGTGTTGGGTAGGGGCTTGGAGGTGTGGCTTAGTGAGAGTGTTTTTGCTTGGCATACACAAATACACAAGGCCCTGGGTTTGATCCTGACAAAAAAAGACATGTTGAGTGGGAAGATCCTTGGAAATTCCTGGGTAAAGCAATGCGGGAAGTGTTTAGAAGTTGCATAAATGAGTCTGGATTTAGAGACATAGGGAAATGATAAAATAGGTCAATTCATGGGAGTAAATAATTTCTGTAGGACTAATTGCTCATCATCCTGACACTCAGTATGTAGCTTGAAGTAGAGACCATAGCCTATTTATAGTTTATTGGATTTACTTATGAAGTCTTTATATTTAAAATACACATTATCCATAAACAATTAATTCTAAATGTCTTCTGCAGAATTAACTATCTTCTTTTTAAAACAATAAAAGTTATAATTAAAAACTTAAGTTGTTGGGTATGGTGGTGCATGCCTGTAATCCCAGTTATTTGGAAGGCTGAGGCAAGAGGATCTCAAATTAAAGGCCAGCCAGGGCAGCTTAGTGGTAGAACACTTGCCTTGCATGTACAAGGCCCTGGGTTCTATGTCCAGCACTGGGGGGAAAAAAAAGAAAAACAAAAACGAAAAACTGTTAAAGTCATAGAAATGGTTATGAAGCCACCCCCCCCCCTTATGTTATAAATAGATTGGGGAGTTGGTTTCATTGTACCTTTCTCCTAAACATAATCCATGAACTTAAAAGCCAAGAATTATTGCCCTGTGAAGCAAAATGTAATCTTGTATAATAGGAAATAGGCAAAATAGGTTTGTATCATTCACGTGTTTCCCAAGTACTCAAAAGATGGTTGGCTTTAAGGTCACTAAAATTATTTACTTTTTTGAGATAGAGTCTCATTATATTGCCCAGGGTGGCCTTGAATTCTTGAACTAAAGTGATCTTCCTGTCACTACTTCCTGAATAGCTGGGCTGTAGGCGCATGTCACCGTGTCTGATAAAATACCATCACTTTTTAGGAAGTAACCATTTTATTTCATATAATGCCAGTTTGTGTTAAGATTTCTTCGTTTAATTCAAATAATCCTTTACAGCTTTTTGTTGTTGTGCCAAAAGTGCTTCTCCGAACAGTGTGTACATATCCCTGGGAAGTCTTGCTGCAGGCTTGGACTCACTCAGTAACTCTTGGGTGGGGCCTCAGCTTTCCTGTGCCTGACAAGCCCCCAGCAATTCGGTGCTGCCGGTTCATACTGAGTTAAGAGGCTCTGAAAAGTCCTTCCTTCTAGAGTTGTCTCATAGTTTTCTCCAAGCATCTTTTAGCTAACACTTGTTGAAACTGGTAGCTAAGTCTGTTAAGTTTGGTTAGCTTTAACTTCCTCATTTTTATCCCATAAGCAATTCTTCCTGCATCTCATGAAGCAGTACAACATCTGATTGCCCCACTATGAGTGATGTTAAAATGAGCGTAAGCTCTGGGTGCCAGCCTCAGGATCTTTCTCAAAGAGATGAGGCTTTTCTTCTGCAGGCTGGAAGTTACCTGTGGGGTGTATTTTGACATCACAGAGATGTGCAGTTCTCTAAACTGCTTACTACCCGTTTATAATTCATAAGATGTGTCACAAGAGGTAGAATTGATGATTTTCAATTGTAATTTCTTCTATTTTAACTAATTGCCAAACTTTTATAAAGTAGCACTTTCATCAGCTGGAACTGTAGTCACCAATTTCCATTGGTAAAGATAGGGTAAATGGTGACAGGAAGTTTTCCTCATTTTTTTTTTTTTTAAAATTACTGTTTATAAACTTGGATTTTCGTGAAATTAGTATGTTTCAGTCAGCACGTACTTAAACTGAAATTCTTAGTTTTTAGCTCTTGGGATCCCTTTTAAATTGCTGTCAGTCTTAACCTTTTGACCTTCAAATGACTGGTTACCTACTGGTCCCCATGGAAATCCAAATTTATTCTGTGCATTTTCTGCTCAAGATACAGAGCTGGTTGTGTCTTCAAAAACCCCTGAATGATACTAGAAACTAAAATGCTGGGATGTCATTAATTTTGGGTTTCTTGTTTCAGATGAAAATCTTTTAAAAATCATGTATTCATACAGATATTTTCAACTCAGTTTTAACCAATATTTTTCTTTTCTTTCTTTTTTTTTTTAGAAAATTTTTTAATATTTATTTTTTAGTTTTCAGCGGACACAACATCTTTATTTGTATGTGGTGCTGAGGATCGAACCCAGGCCACACGCATGCCAGGCAAGCGCGCTACCGCTTGAGCCACATCCCCAGTCCCAATATTTTTATTTTCAACTCCAGGTTTTTTTCTTTTTTAGCTGTAGATGGACATAATATCTTTATTTATTTTTATGTGGTGCTGAGAATCAAACCCAGTGCCTCACACATGGGAGGCAAGCGCTCTACCACTGAACTACAACCCCAGCCCCTCAACTCAATTTTAACCAATATTTTTATTTGATTTTGTACTTGAATTTTTTTTCCTTCCTCTTTTGCTTAATTCTTTAGAGCCCTGACTCTCAAACACAAGCATTCCTTGGAATAACCAGGAGGGCTTGTTCAGCACAGATTGTTGGGTCTCCCATCCCTAGAGTTTCTAATTGAGCAGGTATAGGGTGAGACCCAAGAATCTGAGCATCTAAGTTCTCAGGTGATCTTGATGGTGCTGTGCTGGACCATACTTTGAGAGCCACTATGGTAGAAGATGGTTTTAGAGTAAAGGACTTGAGCCAAATTGCAGATAGCTTAGGAAAAACAGCTATTTCTTTCAAAGTTGGGACACGAACTTTATATACTTGAGGACAGAACAAAGAAAACCAAGAGAAAATTGTGAAGAACGTGGAACAGAGCATATGTTTGGAAGTAAGAGGCACCCTAAGCTTTGAGGGCTTAGCTTTGCAGAGGAGCAGTCTGACACCTCAGGGTTCAAGAGCCTGAGAGGTGAGGGAACTCTCCTCTTATCACAGTGTAAGAGACTTGGAAGTAATTCGAACCCAATACTAAGCAAGTTTTTCCTGATAAAAGTTTGTTTTGGGTTAGGGTGCTTCTTCCCCAAAGTTTTTTGTTTTGTTTTTTAAACTATAAAGTGACAGGTTAGCTAATTTTCATAAAGTATGGGATTTTTGCTTAATAATTGTATTTTAAATCTACATAGGGAAACCTTAATCAGAAACTTTTGAGAATGTAGCCTTATGTAATTTAACTTTTGTTTTTTGCTTAATGCTGTGGATCAAAACCCGGGGCCTTGAGCATCTAGGGCACGAGTCATTGATACACACATTGATACAGTAGTTCCAACTCCTTGGGAGGCTCAGGCAGGAGGATCACATATGAGGCCAGCATAGGCAACTTAGACTCTGTCTCCAAATAAAGACAGTGGGATTTAGCTCAGTGATAGAGCACCTGTAGGTTCAGTCCCCAGTGGATCAAAAGAAAATGAAAGACTAACAGAAGGTATGTCTAGTCTTTCTTTTTTTAAAAGAAATTTCTACCACCAGTATTTTTAAAAAATACTAGAGCACTTGCTTGGCATGTGTTGAGGCCCTGGGTTCAAACCTCAGCACCACATAAAAATAAACAAATAAAATAAAGCATTCTGTCCATCTACAACTACAAAAATTTAAAAAAAGAAAATTCTAGATGATTTTTCTTACTGACTCAAAATAGAAGTACTCAAAACATGTTTATTTTCTCTTAAATAAATGCTACTAAGAATCTAGTATAAGAAATAAAGGAAGAGATTTTTAAAAGTATGCTTATGCGCATGGAATGGCTTTACATTGAATACTAATTTCCTTTTATCTGATGGCTCATTCCAGATAAATTTGTATAGTTGCCAAAAATTATGTAAACTGCAGGACTGCATTTATAAATTTAATTTTTTTGGTACCGAGGATTGAACCCAGGAACTCAGTGACATCCCCAGCCCTATTTTGTATTTTATTTAGAGACAGGGTCTCACTGTGTTGCTTAGTGCCTCACCATTGCTGAAGCTGGCTTTGAACTCGTGATCCTCCTGTTGCAGCCTCCCGAGCCACTGGGATTACAGGTGTGCTCCACCGCACCCAGCTGTAAATTTTAAAAATTCATTAGGAGCCAGCAAGTATTTTTTGAGCTAGACATACCATACTTTTTATACTATTTTTAAGAGTTTATTTGTGCATGAACATGTTAAATTGTAGAATTCAGGATTCTGCATGGTGTCTGCAATGGTATAGTTACCAATATCAGATATTTGTTTCCTCAAAAAAAATGTTGCAAATTTTCATTTTAACTGGAATTACCCTTGAAGGATTATCTTACAGGTTATTTTAAAAGCTTGTAGCTAGGTAAGAGATTGTACCATAGATGTTATCCTTGCATGGATGTGTGTTTTGAACTGGTGATGAAGTTGAAAGAAGTGCTTTTGCCTGTGTTTTTGCATGTAATATAAGTAATCTGGCAAGCTTAAGATATTCTCTCTCTCTCTCTCTTTTTTTTTTTTTTCAGATAAAGCTTCACCAAGAAGGCTGCCCAGGAAGCGGGCACAGAAGAGATCAGTGGGATCTGATGAGTAAATGTTCCTTTGTGCAACAATTCAGTCTGTACTTACCCTGACCTAATGTTTTTCGGCCTGATGGGAATTAGTGCAGAGAAGCCATATCACCGTAGAAGGCAACTACTACTTATGTGTGGACTGAGCAATCAGAGTCTGTGGCGATAATATTGCTGAAAATGCACTGCATTCGTTTTTCTAAAGTAACAAATTTTTTTTTTTTTTAAACCATTAAAATCTATGTGTGCGTGTGTATGTATGTGAGCAGTTGGTCTTACCAGAATCATTGTTGAACTGCCTGAAGCATGCCTTTAGAATACTAAGTATAATGCCATCTCTCTTCCTTTTAGGTACTTTTTGATTTTTATCCCCAAATACAATGAATATTTGCCTCCAATATAATTGTAGATACCCTGCCTTGAACTGTTTTAAGGGAAGAAATAATTTGTTTCTTCCATGGAATTGCTCAAATCCCAACTGATGGCACAAATTAGCATTTTGGTTGTGGTTGCCCTCTTATAATTAGTATTCTAAAGGCACAAGCAGGAGATGCTGCTTTTTTAGCAGTAGAATTGTTTTTGGTATTTTTATGTTGTTTATTATAATGCATACCTTCAGGAAACTTCCCATATGGATTCAAGGAATTTTAGTATCTCTTGAGCAACAAAATTGTGAAACATGAAAATTCTGATATTGATATATGAATCCTAAACCTACCCATTTTTTAACAAAAAGGAAATAGTACATTTGTGCAAACTGAGGAAGAGGTCTGGAATGATCTTAGACACACACTTGGGTTTTTTGGTTTTGTTTTTGTGGTCCCGGGATTCAAACCCAGGGCCTTGTGCTTGCTGATAAGCAACTGCTGTACCACTGCGCTACAGCCCCAGCCCTTGTTTTATTTGGTTTTTTAAAAAGGAAATTTTGCTCTTCTTAGTAAAAGTACCCTTTCTTAAGAAAAACTGCCTTGTTCTGCAGATCAAGCAGATCAAAGTGTAGGAACAGATATATTCCAACTCATCTTAATCTCCAAAAACATGAACTGGAAATTTTTAAAGCAGTCACACAGTTGTTTGTTATATAATATTTGGGGGATTTTGATTATTGATGTACCTTTTTTTGGGGGGGGGTGTTAATTCGGAAAATTCCAAAAGTTTAAGCACTTAGGACCTCAGAACCAAAATTAAGTTAGACTTCATAAAATCCTTTAGGGACAAAAAGATTGAGAAAATAAAATCCTTTTAGTAGGATTTTATGTAGTAAATTAAGTTTTGGCACTATTGTCAGACTGGATAAAGGATAAAGTAAAAGTTTCTATGAACAAATCCCCCCCCTCCCCCTGGTCCCCCTTTCCGTCTTTAAGCCACATATTCCCACATATTTTTTATAACCAAATAGTAAATGAAATTTTAGTGGCTCCTTAATTCCTGACTTCTGTTCACTCTTATCATCTTCAGTATAATCCCCCAACACACACACACACACACACACACACTCTCATGCCCACACATCCAAAAAAAGAAATGATGATAAAAGAAAAAATATACAAACAAATCTTTTTTAAGCTGTTACTTAAGTATTTAAACATCTGAGCCAAAACCAATGACGTTAGAAGTTATTGTATAATTGTTTTGCAAGTAGGGACTGAGATGTCGCATTATCTATATTGGCATTGCTGGACTATAAACTTTCTAAACCTTTAATATGAAGTGTTTGAGTTTTTAATTGGGATGTATGTTCAGTAGTTTATTTTGAAAAGTTTTGTGAGGTCTAAGTAACTTGTAATATAGGAAACTGTTCTTCCTCTCAAGGAAAATTTTCCAGAATATTTTTTGTTACTATCTAATTTGTGAAACTACTAGAACATAATGCAGTAAGGTGTAATTACAAAATTTTAAATGACCTCTAGAGAGTATTACTGAATATGTAGGCAATACAAAACCGTACAGAGTTACAGCTGCCGGCCCTTCTCACTCCGAAGTAATTTGCCTTATATACCAGCCCTTCCATTTCTGAGGTTCAAATTAGTGCCCCAGAAATGTAGAATGTATTATTTGTTACGTTTTATTTTTTATTATAGATTGGTAACAGTTGAAAACTCTTAAATCCTCAGATGCCAGGGCTCTACCATAGCATCAGTAAGTATTTAGCAGAAACTAACTCCATAATGAATGGAATTCGATTCCACACATGGTTTGTTCAAGCACACTTAATAAGTAGCCTATTTTTAAATGTCTTTTTTAAATGTAAATACTTGGATGAAGTTTTCTTTGTTTTAATATATTCATTTGCTATACCAATCATGGTTTCAGAATTTACTTTATGAACAGTTTGGTTTCAGAATCCGTAATATGAACTTAAGCCTCTTGTCTATTAAACTTGCCATCTCCACGTGTGGGAATGTGCTCACTAAGCATAGAGCTCGCTGTGGTTGTGTAGCTTTATTATTCTAGTTATGGTCTAGCCAAGTTAGGCGCAGTTAGGGCTGGTCCTCAAAGCTTTGCCTGAGGAGAGGAAAGGTAAATGGGGCCTCAGAGAAGCCTATGGGGAGATGGTAGAAATCAGAAGGCAAGAAGCATTGACATGATGTTAATGAAGTTTTTAATCTTAAGTAGCTTTAGAAAGTGTGACTTCAAGAGGCAGAAAAGGTATATTTAGACCTTAAGAAAATAAATAAAGAGCTGTTGCCTTAAAAGTGCATTTATGCCAGGTGTGGTGGTGCACTCTTGTTATCCCGGCAATTATCACAAGTTCAAGGCCAGCCTGGGCAACTTGGTGAGACTCTGTCTCAAAATAATAAATAAAAAGGACTGGGAAGTAGCACAGTGGTTAAGTGCCCTGTTTTTAATCTCAGTACCCCTTGCCCCCAAAGGAAAAAAAGGTGTATTTGTAGCACATATGCCTAGAATTGTATTTTGGCTAAGTTGAGAAGTAAATAATATAATATTGAAATCTTGAATGACTTATTTTGGAGGTATAGTAGATGATATTATAATATGCAAGGCTCATATGTTATTATTTTGCAGTACAGGGATATCAGATATCCAAACCCTGAGTATGAAGAGAGATTTGCTTGGATAGTGCATTTAAATAATGAACAAAAAATTTTTTTTGAGACAAGGTCTCATATTAACTCAGGCTGGCCTCAACTACTAGGTTCCCCTGCTTTGGCCTCTGGAGTAGCTGGAACTACAGATGTACACCATTGCACCTGGCATGAGTTAATTTTTTAACTCAAGACATCGTCTCTTGCCAAGATTTTGATAGGCTATATCTTTGAATTTTCAGTCTTTACTTCCAAAATTAGATGTTGGTATAAACTTAGGGACATTTCTAGATACATTTGAAGTTACTTTCATGGTTTTGAATGGCATTATTCATAGCTATAGACCTAAAGTCTGTACATTTTCTCTTAATAAAATCCTATTTTCTTTGAACTACCATTTCCAGCTTAGTGAAGAACAAGATCCTTGTTATTCGGGTGAGTGGACTGTTAGGTTTCACTGTTAGTCTGATCTGTATATGAGAACATCACCCTTAAAGGATTTTTCTGCCTTTTGCTGCTAGGGGTTGAATCCAGGTGCATTCCATTCCTGAGCTACATCTCCAGCCCTTTTTATTTTTTATTTTGAGACAGGATCTCACTGCATTGCCAAAGCTGTCTTCTAACTTGCCATCCTCTTGCTGCAGCCTCCCAAGTAGGTGGGATTATGTGTGTGCACCACTGCACCCAGCCTCTCAGAGGATATTTAGGAAGAAAGAACAACATGAACTGACTTGCAGACATCTAAACAATTGCTTGAATTTTGCTTTGAATTGTATGAATGTTGCTAACTAATATTTATATGATTTTATCCTTTTTTGATTACACAAAAGCTTGAATTCTTAATGGTACTAAATAATATTACCTGATATTCTGGGAATTTTTGGTTGGTTGGGTTTGTTTGTTTTAGGTTTTGGCATTTTTAAGAACAGAGTTTGAGGGATGGAGTTGTGGCTTAGTGGTAGAGCGCTTTCCTGTCACACGTGTGGACACTGTGTTCCATCCTCAGCGTCACACAAGTAAAGATATCATGTCCATCTACAACTAAAAAAAAAAAAATAGAAAAAAACAGCATGGCTGGGTATGGTGGTATATGTCTATAATCCCAGTTTCTTTGGAGGCTGAGTTAGGAGATCACAAGTTGAAGCTCAGACTGGGCAACTTGGCAAGACCCTGTCCCAAAATAAAAAAGTCTGGCAATGTGATAGAGTGCCCCTGGGCTCACTCCCCAGTACCTCAAATAAATAGAGTGCTTAGGTTTGGACACCGTGTATGGATGCTTTTCAAGGAAGCAGAAAGAGAAGGGAATTCGTGAACTAGACATCAGCTGTGTTCTGTTGGGCCTTGTCATTTACCATCCCTGAACCCTCACAGCTCACTGAGGGAAGCAGAATGTTCTTGTTCTGTAGGTGAAGATCCCTGAATTTAAATAACTGCTCAAAGTTATCAATTATTGCTTCAGAATTGTCTTTTTTCTAAAATTCAGTGTTCTTTCTCTATTCCTTGTGTAAGTTGGAAATTTTATAAAAACCAAGCATTTGGACATCTTAAAAATATTTGTTTTTCAGGGCTGGGGTTGTGGCTCAGCGGTAGAGCGCTCGCCTAACACGTGTGAGGCCCTGGGTTTGATCCTCAGTACCACATAAAAGTAAATAAATAAGATGAAGTTATTTTGTCCAACTACCGCTAAAAAATAAATATTAGAAAAAAAGAATTTAAAAAACAAATTCTTGTTTTTCAGAATCGAGCAACCAGAAAGTTCCTATGACCTTGCTACTGAATATACATAAATGCATACATAAATGTTTGCCTGCTGTTCAGCAGTGTACACATTCCACTCAATGCCAGAGCACCATAAAACCCCAGTCTTCTACACTATTTTAAATTGATTTGTTGTGGTATGTATATATAGTTATTAGAAATTGACATTTTATTTTTATGATAAATCAGTTACAGTACCCTGTTTATTACAAGACATACCTCTTTAAAGTAAAGACTGCCTCCCTCCCTACTAAACAGAAGGGTAGTCTTTAAAAACATCTTCTGCAAGAGAGGTCTAAAAAGTTGATTGGGTTTTAAGCTGTGAAGGGCTGAAAGATATCTGCATTAAGATGAAAGTAGGGTGTCTGCTTGGGTGGTACAACCAAGTAGCACTAGATCTGTGGTTCCAGCTTGAGGCTTCTTTCTAGTTTCTTTTTCTTCAGTTATTGATTTCCCTGAGGCACAGTGGAATATTAAAAAAAAAAAAATTCAGTGTATTGTACCTGGAAAACACAGTGTAGCTTTCACCTCTAAATCATAGTCAAATTGTGTCTTGTTTGTACCTCTGCTGGCCCTTACGCACACTTATGGAGTACCTCTGACGATTCATCTTCCCTGATGGTAAACTGAGCCCTATATTTTGTTTGTATTTTTTATCCCCAGTTTCTAGTTCACAATTATGTGGAAATCCATTACAAGTGTTAAAAGAAACAACAGGAATCTCTGGGCTAGTTTTCACTTGTATTCTTCCCTGTGATTATAATGGCTTATAAATATTCCTGGTGATAATCCAATAGTGTCATTGGCAGTTTTCATCATGAGTTTGAAATCGTGGTATGGTGTAGTCTTTTTTATGTTGAGATATCTTAAAATGTCATAAATTGTATGGTTCCATTAACCTTCAGTCCCCTGCTTAGTACAGTATTATTAAATGAATATAGCCCAGCACAGTGGTGCACACCTGTAATCCCAATGACTTGGGAGGCTAAAGCAGGAGGATCGCCAGCCTTTACAACTTAGTGAGACCCTGTCTCAAATTTTTAAAAAAGAGCTGGGGATGTAGCTCAGTGGCAAAGTACCTCTAGATTCAATCCCTAGTATCAGGAAAAAAAAAAAAGTTATTTAATTGTTTGTTCTTTAATGCTAGTTGTTTAATAAAAGAAAAGAATGAACAAACTCATGTTACACTGCCTTGATTCAGATCCCAGCTCCCCTCTTAGTTATAGGCAAGTTGTATAACTTAACTACGTCAGTGTCAGGTGCCGTATGGTACCTGCCTCCTAGGGTTGTATGTCAAGTACTTAAACACTACCTAGTATGGGGTAAGCTGTGGGTGATTACTCTTATTGTTGTAAAGTACTGTGTTAAAGCAACACCCCATGAAGCACAGGAGTCAGGCTATAGTATATGGCACTTTGGGGACTTCAGTGTGTAGTAACAAGTACATTCTACTAAGTATGCAAGCTAATGTTCTTTTTTGGCTAAAGGGTAAAAGTTGTGAGATGGGTGTGTAACATGGCTCGCATTGTAGATTTCGTAATGAATCAGATAGTAAGGCTGGCAAGGGGCATCTTTGTACTCAATCTGTTAGAGCCTGTACGTCTGGTGGGTTCCTTTTCAGAATGTTTGAAGAGGCTGCCTATTTTCCAGTGATGCTATTGGTGTTCAAGTGATCTCAGAATTTCTTTCCATATCAGACTGAGCTTCCCAGAGACAGTCTTATTTCCGAATAAATTTTTTCCAGAAGTCATACTGGTCTGTTAACCTGCCTTAAATTTGTCAAAACAGGTGCTTACAGTCTAAAGGCACTTTGGGAAGGACGATGAGCGATTCTTTAGGCCAGGAGAGTGTTCAGGGTGAGCTGTCCAACACCTGCTCTGTGCTCCTTCATATATTTTCATGGTGTCCTCTCAGCTCCCCTAGAGGACCCTCTTGTTCCCCAGGAGCCCTGCAGCTCTCATTCTTCACAGGGGGTCGGTCTCAGCAGGGGTTGGCGTAAGGAGGCCTGGGCTGGGCCGTGGCACACAGTAGCCTCACCACATTCTAGCTGCAGCTCGGGCCTTGCTTGGTGCTTCATAGACCTCAAGAGGCTTTCTGTATTTTTTCTGCTGACACAATCCAGAGTCAAGAAACATTTGCAAATACTTTGGACAAGTTTGTAAAGACCTGTTGCCATCATTCATGATAGAAAGTAGAAAGCTGTTGACCCCAAGTACACATGAGAATGGGTTTTCATCCCCTGGATCTCCTGAGCAATTTGTTCAGAGCTGTGTAAGGTCATATGTTGAATACTTTATCCTGTGACCTTTTCATACGGATGTACTTGTAGGTTTGACTGTTTAGGTTGAGGGCACGCTGCAGTGGGGACATCAGGCCTAGAGTAGCTGCTTGCTGCTCCGTACAAAGCCAGGTCCACAGGCAGGACGGTGGCTGAGGTCCACTTTAATGGCAGCAGGAGGATGTTGTCCTGTTTTCTTAGTTGAAGTCCACCTGAGTAGCAGACAACTGGTGTGTTCCAAGGCCCCTGCCAAGAAGTCCTCATGTTTCAGGAACCACTAGGGAGAGTGACGTCCACCTGGCTGACAGCACCCTCAGTCCCATCTGAAGGAGCAGCCCTGCGTGAACACTCGTGGTCCTGTCCACACACAAGGACTGTGATGTGTGGCCACGCTCCCAGCGTGCACAGAGCTGTGAGTCTTGATGGCTGAGCCTCCTCTTCATTGTCACCAGCTCCTGTCCCTCACAGGTTCCAGGAGGTTCTTTCTCTCCATTACGGAAGCCTCCTTCCCCCGACGCTCATCTCTGGCTCCTTTCCTTTGTGCCCACTGAAATGGAACCTTCCTGAGCCTTCAGGAGTCTCCGTCTCTGTCTCATCTGCATCCCCGCCTTGTTTTTTCTCCCCATTTCTCAAAATACCTCCTTTTGATATTTGGCCTCTTGTTTTTTTTAGGCTTGAAGTTCCTTCTGATTCGGCTTCTGCCCCCCAAAGCCTGCTCTCAGATCTCATGGCACCCTGCTTGCCAGAACCTTCTTCGCTCTCAGTTCCCCGCCCTCCACTCATGCATTTCACCCACTGACCACCGACCCCCAGACTTATACTCGCTTCCAGGACCCTGATCTCAACCCCCATTTCTCTGAGTGATTTGTTGCCTAGCCTGGAACTCACTCAGGTTTGCTCTTCTGCTCGGTGCTCTGCCCCGAACAGCTGGCCATCCTCTCATTACTTCAGTCCTTATGTCTTAGCTCTAAATTACTTTATTTCATGCCATTCAAACCACCTGTGAGACATTTTCACTTATAGTGTATTATAACCCAAAACAACACAAATGTTCACTTAAATCTCCCTGTCCGACCTGGTGCCATGGCTCTCCACTTCTCCAACTTTGAATCCTAGAGACCTAAATATGGTATTTAATAAATGATTACTAATTTTAGCCCTGCTGTTTATTAAAATTAGATTTCAGTTCTCTCCCCTTCAAAATCTAAGAAATAAGAACTTTAAAGAAATCTAAATTTATTCAGTGTGGGCAAAATCTTACCTCTGTTCAAAATACCTTTATCTTTCCTGATTCATTGAAGAGGTCTTGGATTTGCTATTTTAATTTTAGCACTTGCATACTTGAAATGTGTCCTGGCAGCATAGTTTAATCAGGGTTATTGTAAAACAGGGTGAGGTTTCTTCTGGTAATTATGTCAGAAAATGTCATTGGGTATCATTTGGGTTTTGTCAATGAAAGTAGGAATTAAGGAATCCATAGAATTATTGTACAGCTTGAGAAATATTTCTGCTCTTTGAGTATCTGGAAAAGTCTGGTAAACCTAAGGTAACTTATACCTTAAGTGAGTGCCCTTCTTGTTATTTCCATCCATCTGACGTACTGCTGAACTGCTCCACTGTTCTATCAAAGGCATCTGTTTATACATATCCTGTAATTAAAGCTGATCTTGAGTGTCCATGTGCAGTATGAAATGTTCCCTAAAGTGCCAGCACATATTATTGCTTGGGCTTAAAGATGAGAAGCACAAAAGGGAATCTAAAATACTAAACAAAGAAGTTACAATTTAAATTTCCCCTTGGAAGGTATAAGAAAAGGTTTACACACTTTCTGCATATAAAATTTTGCCATTCAAACAAGACTGGTGATGTACAGTTAAGGTGACTCCACATGAGTTTCACATGTGCATTTGGACTGTCGACTCTTTAGGTAATGGTCATAAGTGACTCCCTTGCTTCTCCCATTCATACTGAGTTTGGATGCCTCCAGTTGCATCCACTTTATATTCTGACCAGTTAAACATTCTGAGCACGCAGAGCAGGGGCTGTGATCGAGTTCTCTGCATAGATAATAGATAACTCAGAAAGGCAATAGTACCTAGATTTCCTTCAAGAATTGTTCTGAGCAGTAGAACTGTGTTCTTCGCAGAAAAAGTAACTTTTGATTAGAGGCTGTGCAAATTGGAGAATCAGTCTTTGTAACTCTGTAATGTTTTTGGTCTTCTGCTGGAAAGAAAAAAATGCTTTGAAGAATGAAAAAAAATTAGGACAGTAAGAAGCAGCCTTTTTCTGTCTTCTCTACAGTGCTTGAAACAGTATTTCGGATTAATCCGAAGCCTAATTAAAGAAATATACCAAAATGCTAAAGCAATTTTTGTGCTAGCGTGGTGAATCTTTCCTTTTCAAAATGTTTGTAATGTGCTTATATTTTATATTGGAAGCAATAAATGAGAATGTTAAATTTATCTGAGCCTCTGACAATGAATATAATAATCACAACGGTTATGGGCAGTTTTCCTGTAGCCCAAAAAGAAAATGAGCCACTTTTAAAAACTTGGATGTATTGTCACTTTACACATTTCAAGAAAGGCAAGGTAGATTATTAGTAGAAAACCCTTGGAGGAGCCGATGTGGTGGAGCTCACCTATAATCTCAGAGGTGGGGAGGCTGAGGCAAGAGGATCATGAGCTCAAAGCCAGCCTCAGAAAACAAGGCACTAAGCAACTCAGTGAGACCCTGTCTCTAAATAAAATATAAAATAGGGCTGGGGATGTGGCTCGGTGGGTGAGTGCTCCTGAGTTCAATCCCTGGTAGTCCACCCCACCCCCCCAAAAAAAAAACCCTGGAGGTAGTTTTTCCTGCAGATTCCTGTCTTGTTTTTTGTAGGAGGCGCAGGCCATCCCTCTGCTCTGAGCTGAGTGGTGCGAGGCCGAGCTCACTGCTGCACCCCTGTCCCTGGTCTTACGCCCACAGGAGCCTGAGCCTGCCTGGCTGAAAAACCTTCCTGGGCTTCCACCCTCTGTAGGCTCTGGTCTTTCCCTTCCTTGCCCCAACCTGTACCCACCCCTCATCCACTAGCACCACACTCAGCATCCAGCAGCTCCCTTGGCTGTCATCCCCTCTGCCTGGGCTCAGCCAGGCTTCCCTGGCTGCCTGCCTCCCCGCCAAGGCTCCCCATGGAGGCACCATCTGAGCGTGGGAGTCACACAGCCAGCTTTGTTGCCCTCATCCCCTTGCCTCCCTGTCCTTGCATTGTGAAATGTGAGCTTTAGGACAAGAATTGTTCAAGTCACCAGATTGTCTTAAAACAGTACCTGGTTGCTGTTCAATAAATGTGAATTCTAAAATCATCACATCCACACAGTGAAATGGGTACATCCTCACTTTGCAAACAAGGAAGTTTGCATAAAAAAGAAAAATGCAGAAAATCCCCAAAACAACAACAAGGAAAACCTCAGTTATTAAGTGGCAGAACTGAGATTCGAACGCAGGTTTGTCTTGTCCGGAGCCTTCACGTGGTTAGGCTGCCTCCCTCCTAACATGGAGAGTTTTTTCCAGACCTCCTCCCAATCACCATTCACTGAAAACCAGGAGGAAGATAGGAGTTGAGTCCCCACACTGGGATTCCCAGATGTACAAACTCAAGTTGGAATTTCCAGACTCACCAGTGCACCTGGGGGATTCTGTGCCAAAATGAGCCTGGAATGGCATTTTGGTTGTATATTGCAGCTTGGCCAAGAGGCATCTCCCAAGATAAGAACTAAGAAAACTGGCAACAGAATGCGCAGGAGTGGTTTGTGTGCAGTTCCGTTGTGAGTTCTCTAAGCGGAAGTTAGTTGCTGAGGCTGACCTTGAACTTGAAATTCTCTGCCTCAGCCACGCCTGACTATAAAAAAGGAAGCAAAACAATAGGAGATAACAGCTGTAGCTTCAAAATGAAAAGTTAGTCCCTAAATTGTGAGCGAAATGTGATCTCAAATATTTTTTCCTTGAATGCATAATGCCAAGCTTACCAAATGATACCAAGCGGAAACAACTAAGTAACCTCTGACAGGTGCACAGATCTGCCCACTGGCCATAGCAAGAACCCCTGGAGGAGAGAGAGCAAACAAAACTGCTGGTAGAAGTTCAAGTCCCCTTCAAGTACTGTTTGGAGTCGGAAGACAAGCTATATCTTAAATATATTTAAAAAGTATCGCTACATTTCTTATAAGGGAATAATCAGTTATTTGTGTCACAGTGTTTGGTTTCATAATTTTGAATCAGTAGTATCTCTCCTCTGCAGGAATTCTCCACGGGATCCACGAATCTTAACTAGCGTCAAGGCTCTCTTGATGGCTGGCTTCACGGGTGTGTTCTGCTGCCATCTACTGCCCACAGGTGGCACAGCACAGTGGTTAGCTGTGACTTAAGCCATTCCCAGGATTGTCCTTTGGTGTTTGCCAGAAAGTGGGAGAATTCCAGAAAGAAGAAAGACTGTTAGGATGGGCTGGCTCCTAAAACTAACTGCCTCATCCAGCCGGCCACGCCTACCCGCCTGCAGGCCTGTGTGTCAGCCTACCCCAGAGCACACATCACAGTGCAGCGCAAAATCCTGCTTTGCTGAGATGTCAGTGACATGATCTTGGATTTTTAAGTCATTTGAATGGTTTGCATCAGTAGAAAGATGAATGCATTAAGAGACCCTGTCCCCTTGGGTCACCTTCAGAGCTGGTCAGCCACACTTAGAATGTGCTCTGGGGAGAATCTTAGGGCAGACAACACTGACCACCCCCTTCCTCCACGTCCATATGCCTGTATACACACATGCCGGTCCCGGATGAACAGATCACGTTTTCACATACTGGACGTTAGTGTCAGATGGTGGTGAATAACTACTGGGGTTAGTGCTTGTTTGAATCAAGACTCACCCACGTACTGCCTGGGTAAGTCTAGGCAAGTCACAATGAATCTCAGCCTGTTGCTGTAACATGGGGACAGTCGTAACTGGAGTGGCTTGTTAATCCAATGAATATTTATGAATTGCTTGCTATTTGTCAAGTGTTCACTTTTTCTTATTGATTTTGGTACTGGGGATTGAACCCAAGGGTGTTTCACCACTGAGCTGCATCACCGTGCCTGGCTAAAGATACTGCGTGAAAAAAAAAAAAAAAGCTGATATCAATGCCTGACACCCCCGCCCCCAACACCTTTCTAATTTTCACTAGAAGGAATGTTTATCTCCTTACTATGCAGTGTTCATTCATCAGCCTGCTAAAAACCTTTATCACCAGACCCCCCCCCCCGCGCACTCACACACACACACACACACACACATCTGTGAACCTGTATTTGAAAGGCTTGGTCCTCCTTCATTTTCCCCCTACTCAATGGAGCCTCATAGAATATTAGATCCTTTTCCGTTCAAAAGCATGATGATTGGATGTTCACACTGTTGTGTGAGATGTGCCTTTCTTTAACTTTGTAACAAAGTCAGCACATTACCTGTCTATGTGAAAGAATCTTAAACGTCATCTAGTCCAGCTCTGCCCAGTGCAGGACCGGATACTATAACACCCTGTGTGGACATCACCTGGCCTTCCCATCTTTGAACAATTTAACCATTAATTCATCTTATACCCAAATCAACTTCCTTGTTAAGTCCTAGTTGTGCTCTACATATCTTAGAAAAAGGTTTCCTCTCCCTTAGGACAGCTCTATATATTTGAAGAGAGTTATCACTTCCTTTGTCAAAAATCATCTTTTAGGGCTGGGGTGTATATCAGTGATGGAGTGTGTTTGTCTAGCATGTGTGAGGCTCTGGGTTCCATCCCCAGCATCACCAAAAAAAAAAAAAAAAAGGATTCAGAGCTGGATGTGGTGGCTGATGCTGTTGTTCCAGTAGCTTAGGAGGCTGAGGCAGGAGGATCACAAGTTAAAGACCAACCTTAGCAACTTAGCAAGAACCTGTCTCAAAAAATAAATAGGGCTGGAGTGGTAGAGTGCTTGTCTAGCATATGTGAGACCCTTGGAAGGGCCTAAATCATGGCTTGAGATGAAAGATGAAAATAATCTCCATAAAGTCTCTGCCCCCCAAATGCATTGCTTCAACGGTGAGTTCTTTTTCTTACTCAGCGTTTTCAAGCTGAGTTGCCATAACCTTGGGAGGGGAAAAGGGTTGGGCTGGCTCATGTGCCAAGTTTGGGGTGCCGTCCCCAGAGTCTGGCTATGGCTCGTGGCTGGGGCCCAGAACAACCATCTCAACAGCCCCGCCAGCTCTCCCACAAACATTCTGCAAGCTGCTCCCCAGGAGGCTCTGGGCCCCACCTGATGGCCCCACCCCAGCTGCTCCGCCCTGCTCACACCCAGGAAGGCCCTGACCTACCACGCAGGACAGCACACACATGCCAGCAGCCAGCCACTGTGGCGAGCTGCTCCTTAATGTCAGCATTTTTTCTTTTGTACTAGGGATTGAACCCAGGGACACTTTACCACTGAGTCACATTCCCAGCCCTTTCAATTTTTAAATTTTGAGACAGGGTCTTACCAAGTTGCTTAGGGTGTTGTTATGTTACTGAGGCTGGCCTCCAACTTTCGATCCTCCTGCCTCAGTCTCCTGAATCCCTGGGATTACAGCCATGTGCCACTGCACCTGGCTTAAGTCTCAACCTTATACAGAACCCCCTTTTCTTGATACTTCTCATATGAGAAACAAATTGGAACTTGGGGAGTGGAGCCCAGGGGCCCGCATGCTGGGTAGGAAGCACCCCCTCCCGCCCCTCTGACATTTTTTTAGCTCTCCACTTGAGGGAGGTCCTGATACCACTTTTTTACAGATGAGGAAATTGAGGCATAGAACAGTAAACGACTTGCTGCTCATCACCCCAGCTTTAGGAAAAGAAGCTGGGACAGAGACGCAGGCAGGCTGACCCCAGGGGTCCCCCATGCGCCCTGCTGTGGCACATGGATCTCTCCAGGGAGTGCCACCCAGACACACACTCCACTTCCCCAGGGCATCTTGAACTCAGAACAGGAGCTGGCCGGTTCCCTGTTCTCAACCACTTCCTCCTGCATTTCTCTCGGGTGGAACCATCATTTCCACAAGAAACTCCCTGGTGGCAGGTCCCCTCCCTCCCCCGTCTCCTAACTCTTAAATCCAGCTCTTCTTCGTCCTGTTAACCATCCCCGTGCTGAGGTGGAGCTGTGGGGAGACTCCTGGCGTAAGCCTGCCTGCGTCCACGTCCCAGCTTCCTTTCTTACACTCCCTGTCACCAGGGCTCTGCAGAAGAGGCGTGGGACGCACTTGGCGCCAGGTACCAGCAGTCCCTGCCTGCAGCACTGGGAGAGCTGTGACCCACATCCCAAATGCCCGTCTAGTTCCCTCCAAGCCCGCCCAGCCCAACCTGCCACTGTGGTCACCAAAATGGCATCCTGCCCTGTTGCTCTCCCCAGCGGAGAACCTTCCAGTGGTTCCCGACAGGTGGCA